AGCAAGTTGTGCTCGTGAAATCTGGGGGTGGCAACCCAAGTGCTCGCCAGTGTGTGAAATGCCTGATTGACAGGTGGATCAGCTGGGCTGGACATCCCAAAGTCATAACCACTGACAGAGGGACGCATTTCAGGGGAGAATTTTCAGAGTATTTGGCACAGCATGGTATAATCCATAAGAACGCTCCCCTCGAGAGTCCGCAGACTATTGGAAAGGTCGAACGTCATGGTGGACTTGCCAAGGCCATCATTAGGAAAGTCGCGCAGGAGACTCAGCCCTCGAATATCGAGGAGATGGAGGCGGTCGTTACCGAGAGTGTTACTACTAAGAACGAGCTTAGTAGGCACCAAGGGTTTAGCCCAGCACAACACGTGTTGGGAAAGCAGCCTCGAACACCGGGTTCCGTGCTAGATGAATCCGAAAGCCTTGGTACATTGTTCACCAAGTATGATGAGACGAGCGTATACTACGTTCGGCACAGAGCACGGCAGGAGGCCAAAAAGGCCTTTGTTCATTTAGAGACTTCCCGCAAGGTGGCCAAAGCGTTACAGCGTAATGCAGCCCCTCTAGACACTGATTATAAGGTTGGTGATTTAGTTATCTACCGTCGGGACAACGTCCCTGGCAGCCCAGGTGTCGTATGGTCCACGGTTAGCCGCGTCATAGGACGTGAGGCAGAGAATGCGTACTGGGTATTACACGAGAATATCCCTGTACTTGTGAACGCTAGGAAGATGCGCCCAGCTGATGAAATCGAAGTTGCAGCGCGCCGCGTTTTGGCAGGTGAACCAGTGCTTCCGGAAGCCATCGTACATGGGCCGGAACAAAGGTTCCAGGATGAGCGCGTAGCGGACCCGGTCACAGCACCAGCGACGCCACGTCCAGTGGCCGTAGCTGCCCCGCTTACACCGGCAGCCGCGCACGATGTGCCTATGCCAGCACCATCGACGCCAGCGATGATGCCCGGCACACCGATGCCAGCGCCATCTACCCCTGCAAGGTTTCGCGCCAAAGATAAGACGGGCGAAGCCGCTCGGTCGCGATCGCCAGTAGGAGGCCGTGATGACGCACTAGTTGCGGAAGAACTTGATCAAGTAGAGATCATGGCAAAAGGCCTGATAGATGCTCAGGGTTTCTCTCCAGATGAGTGTCTGGCCCTCCTTCGCGCTTATGACCGCGACCGACGCGAGGCGTACACGCGCCCGCTCCTAGATGATGGAGATCCCGGGAGCATAGCCCTCGCGGTGGGAGTATATCGGCACGGTGGTCTTGTTGGTGTCTCTGGACCAACGCGCGAGAGACCGTCGTTCGCCATGTACCTCAACCACTACCTCTTGCATCACAGTATGCAAGCCGGACACCATCTTCCACAGTGGAGTAGCGTTCAGCTTACCAACAGAGGCGCAGAGGCCCATAGAGACCTAGCGAACACTCCTGGCTCGTATAACTACACTATAGGTGTGGGCGAGTATCGTGGAGGCGGTCTATGGGTGGAAGAAGCCACGGGTACAACTCCCGTGCGTGTTCAAAACGCGACAATGTATGGCACCGTCCATGATACTAAGAACAAGGTTCTTAAGTTCCGCCCGAAGGACGTGCACATGGTCGCACCGTTTGTAGGAGAAAGATACAGTCTCTCCGCATACACGGTGAGTGATCTCGGCAAGTTGTCTAAAGATGACATACAGCTTTTGTCGGATCTAGGCTACCCCATATATAGGGATACGCCCAACACCTTTGGCAGGAAAAGTGATGGGATATATACCATGGGTCACTCTGATCTTCCCATCGAGACGTTCCTAGAACGCATCCACGAATACGGGATTAAGGAAATCGTTGATTGCAGAAGTCACCCGTACAGCGTTCGGCATCCACAATACAATTGTGATGAACTTTCTGCCACATGTTTTGCAAAAGGAGTTGTGTATAGTCACGCCCCCGAGTTAGGCAACAGGAACCGGGGCGGGATTGAAGCCAACCTGCAAACAGACCAAGGGCTCTGTACGATCGCTAGAATAGTTAGCGAGGCTCACGATGACTTTCACCGAACACTTCTATTATGTTCGGAGGCCAGTTGGCGGCGATGCCATCGGCGAAATATCGCCCAGCACATATGGCTCGAGCATTCGAAACTTGCGGAGCACATACGTGCTAGCGGACTGCCAGAAGCCCATCCGTGTCACTACACTCCTGAGGAGGACGACGGACCGGCAGCAGCATCGCACACAGCTGCGATTGGCACGACAGTGCCAGCAGTTGAGCCCTCGGATGGTCGCGAGGCGGAATCCAAGGCCTTTGCTCTCACCCCTGATGGGGAAGACGCCTTCGGCTCTAACGTCGATGTTGGCTATATGGCCTCGCTCTTGGACTACCATAAGGCTCCTGTGGAGGTACAGTTGGGCCTGGATGCTGCCATGAAGACTGAGTGGCAGAAGTACACCGAGTTCAACGCGGTGGTCCCTTGCACAGACAAGGAGTTTAAGGAGCTTACAAAAGCTGGCCACGTGTGTATCCCCACCAAATGGGTTCTTACCGATAAGAATGAACACCTAAAGGGGACAGCAGCATACACTCCCAAGTGGAAAGCACGCTTGGTCGCATGTGGAAACTTCGAGCATATCTCGAATGAGGAGGATATCAGGGCAGATAGCCCCACGGCCGAGCCGGAAGGTATAGCCCTTCTGTGTTCATGGGCGGTTTCGTTGGCCCTGCGGCTCAAAGCAGCCGATATAACGAACGCATACTTCCAAGGGAAACCCCTTGAGCGCCTCCTCATTCTTCGGGTTCCCAAACACCCTAAGGGTGTGCCCGATGCAGAAATTCAGAGAGCCGGGTATATGATTGCCCGAGTACCCGTGTACGGCACCACCGACGCGGGCCGGAACCTTTACCTCCGTATAAAGGAGAGTTGTAGAGAATTTGGCTTAAATGCCTCGCAAATTCTGTCAGCCCTGTACTATATTACAGGAGAAGGTGGTCGTTTGTGTGCTTGCTTGTGCACCCACGTGGATGATTTCCTGTGGGCTGCTACCGCCGAAGGCGAGCCGGCTATCCAGAATCTGCTGGATAAGTTTAAGATCGGTCGCATAGAGACTGAGAAGTTCCGTTTCTGCGGACGCGAGTATGTGCAAAGCGCCGATGGGACCATCAGTATAAACTGTAGGGACAACACGCGTGCAATTCGCCCGATCGATATACATAAATCTGAAAAGGGCACGACTCCAGTCTCGAATGGCCAGCGCACAGCGCTGAGATCCGTCATAGGATCGCTGGCTTGGGTGGCTCGCGCCACGAGACCTGATCTTGCCTATAGGGTGAATGCCCTGCAGCAGCGTGTTACGACAGCCACGGTGGATACGCTCCGTGAAGCAAACCGCGTAGTAGCACTGGCGTTAGGAGATGCGGATAGGCCGATCACGTACAGCGCTAAGTTACCCTGGAGTACAGGGGACCTGGCGATCGTCACGTTTTGCGACGCCTCCTTTGCAGGAGAGGCGAACCATAAGTCGCAGAGAGGCCGTTTCCACTATCTCACTTCCGCACAGTCGGCGGTGGACAAGAACGCGCCAACGCATGAGATGCACCTCATTTCGTTTTCCTCGTCCACCATGAAACGGGTTTGTCGAGCCACACTGCAGTGTGAGGCTTACTCGTTGCAACATGCCATAGAGCATGGAGATCGCATTCGAGCAGCAGTACTCGAAGTACTCGGCAAACTGCCCCGGTCACAGAACTGGGAAGAAGTCGCCAAAAGATCGATGTTCCACCTGCAGTATACGGACTGCAGGTCCCTTTCGGATCACTTGACAGCGTCGATTCCAAAATCCTGCGAGGATAAACGCCTTGCCATTGAGATGTCTGGACTTCGCCAAGGACTCTGGGAGGAGGACGAGCTAACGCACGTCCTGTACCATCCCTGTGGCGACGAGTTGAGATGGATACCGACGCACTTACAACTTGCGGATTGTCTCACTAAGAGTATGAAACCGCTTTTGATCAATCACAGCATTGATCGCAATCTCGTACAGGTACTCGATGTGCCCGCGCAAGCCGCACACAAAACCGAGAGTACCGAAGGCACTCCGCTTCACGATTGAAGAACTCAGCCTAGAGCCTTGAGTCGCTGTACTCGGCTCGGTTGACCGTGCAAGCTCCCGGTATAATCCGGTGAAGTAGGTTTGGTCCAAAGCGACCAAAATTCGAGCATGATTCGGACGTCACACTACAGATAAGACGGGTGTGAACTTTCCCTGTCTTGAAGGGCCGTGTTGACTTGTCCTCATGCGAGCGTAGTTTTTCATGTTCAGTTCTGAATGCACCCTGTACGACAGACGTCTTGGGCTCAGATCAAAAAGTGTGCTCGTTGTGTGGTTGGACACTCACTAATCCAGTTCCTGCTTCAAAGCCCAAGTACCAACAAAACCCTTCGACACGTCAGTGCAGTCTTTATAGACTACTAGGAAGCCCTTTTCGAAGTGTTTGGGTCCCCTGTTGTGTCAAAAGGGGAGATCTAGGGTCAAGAGTGTTCGGAAGTTCGGAAGTCTGAATCTGAGTGCAGGCGCACGAGAAGGAGGAGAGCGAGGCCCGGGAGAGAAGCGACTTGCACTGTTGATATGCTACGCATTATGCAGTACACCGTATTGCGATGTAATGGAATGCAACAGAATGTAAGTACAGTAGAATGCAATAGAATCTAAAAGAATGTAACAGAATGAAACGGAATGTGATACAATGTAACGTAATACCATACAGTATAGTATAATATACATCAAAGACTACGGAGCTTAGCGGGTTCGTTCGGGTTGCAATCGCAGGCTTTGAAACATGCATAAACACAGGCAAGGATTTCACTAAGGGCTGGGGGCCTTGTTAGTTAGGACAACGGGACATTCGGTCGACCTGGTACATTCTCCAGCTTCCATGCATGACCGCATCTGCCCCAACTTTCTCAGCTCGTTGGTCGAGTAGGGTTTACGGTTTGTGGCTTCCCATTCCTCGGCATGTTCGATCCGTCAAGCACGTTCTTGACGAGCCATCAACGGACTGCAGTGCGTTTCGGAAGTGGGATCAACAGAGATGCCGTACTGTCTGAGATCACCTGGAAAACGGATGCGTTGAAAAAGGGCAAAGCGCCTTTTGGTGTTCATTCTATCTTGGAAATGACTTTCTCGGATGGTAGCACATGGCACACGCAAAAGTACGTGGCCGGGAACTGTGTCGTCGTTGATCTCACGCGTGGCGGCGTGGCAGGGGATGCTATCCGAGGTCCACTTCGCGGACAGGCCTTGAAGGACCAAGGCTGGGTTTGGACTTCCCCGACAAAAGCTTCAGACATTGTCAGGTTTGTGTGCGCGTCTGAGCACATGGAGAAGTACGATACCCGGGACTACAACTGCCACAAGTACGCACAGGACGTCTGGAATTTTTGTGTGGTCTTCAGTCATCAGGTCTGGTGGCGACCTGACATGATCAAGGCGCGACTATTCGGCGGCTTGGTGGGTCATAGAGTCGGCTTCGATGATGACGATTACGGCTACGACGATTACGGCTACGACGATGCTGACTATGACGATGACTACGACTAACATGTGTAGCCATGACGTTGTAGTCGCCTAGTTTCGCGGTAGCAAAGATATTTCTGACCGTGCTGCCCGTGACCAGTCAGCAACCGTGCTTTGGCGATTCGCAGATGCACGGAAAAATGTTAAAGGCGCCGACCGGTGCTGGCTGCCTCAGAGCTTGGTGTTTTCGATGGTTTTACACGCCGAAGAAATCCTCTCCCTGCTTGAAACGGCATTGCCACCTTGTAGAAGACGGTGTGCCGGAATAAACCCTGGCATCTTTGTCTGCCATTTATTGAAGAAAGTTTGGGGTTTATGGTGTGTGGTTTCGGATGTAAAGCTGCGAAGCGAGAATGTTTTTCGCGCAGTGCAGGCTTCTTTTATGACCGCCTCGGCGTCGCTCTTGGATGCAGTCTCAAACGCTTAAGTCCCACATCCGTAATTCCAATAATCCAAAATTAGACTGTATGTCCATGCGCCGCGCTGAACAGCTCCCGGCCCGAACCTGTGCCGGACCCGTGTCACTCACAGCCCTGATCCCCAAAGCCTAAACCCTATTCTCGAAAACCGTGTGGGCCTTAAACCTGATGCCTGAGCCTAAATCCCAAGACCGTGATCCTGGTACTCGACTCACCCCCTTGGAACGCCTCGCTTTGGCTTGTTCGAAATCCTACGACAGCTCCCTGCTCCCTACCCTATACAAACCCTACCACGTAGATCTAGTCTCGTGTCTTTGCATGCCAGGGCTGGTCCGTCTCTGTATTTCTCTACTGCGGCCTTCTTCTGAGCATTGGCTGCGATGTTCTGCTGTGATTTAAGGTTTAGGGTAGGGCTACCACACGCTTTATTTTGGCGTTATTGTAGAGGGATTTTAGAGTTTAAGCTTTGGCTGCTCTGGTTCAGGGTGCTAAGTGCTTAGAGAGCTGTTCCAGGAATGGACCTCTTTTTCAGACTCTTGGTTCGTTCCGCGCACTCTGGGCTTGGAAGCTATCGCTATTGGTCGTGGTTGCTTCAGGGTTCCCGGTTGAAAATGCAGGAATGTAGGATTTGCATTGGAGATATGTCTGAACTTCGACTTTGGGGCTTCAGGGCCAACCAACCCTAGAACCCTGAAGCCCTCAACCCTACACCGACCCTGGGGTGTAGTCCGACACCTCCTTTCACAGTTGCTGCACTGTCCGGTCAGCTTCCCGGTGGTCCAGGTAGGGAATGAAGCCTTCCAAAGTTCTGAAGCATTGGACGCCAACCCATCAGCTGGGACCGTCGCTTCATTCCCGAGACTCCCGGGATTTTTCATATTCCGGAAGCTTCCGAAGAAGGCACGTCGCTGACGTGTCATGTTGTGGTTCATGTTGACTCATGTTGACCGAGTTTGGAACATGTTATGCTAGATGAAGTAATGTGAGAAACATATCGTGTTACAATCCAGTGATTCATGGCACTTTCATGTCATGCTGCATGCTTAACAGCGGTTAATGGCACGTTGTCTTCGCGTGGTATCTTACACATGGTTGTGCTACACTCAAGTCAAAACTGTTTGTATTGAGTTCAGCTGATTGCATCTCGATTGCCTGAGCACGGGTTTTGGCTTGAGGTTCAGGTCTCATGGTTTGGATGTAGTTTAAAAGCGCCTCAGACACACCAGACTCGCCACCCCACACCCCAAGCTACGAACCCCGGGGACGATGCGTCTTACAGTTCGGGTAATCTCGTGGCCAGTTCCATTCTCGTCTGAGGCGCCGTTCGAGACGTTTGGTTGAGGTTGTGTGATTTGTGTGTAGTGTAGTTAGTGTAGTTCTTCCCTCATGATTTCAGAAGCTTCCAACTGTCCTGGATGGTCGTGGCCAAGACACAGACGGATGGTTTAAGCCTCTGCGGAGAAAATCGAGCAATTGCCCAAACCCCAAACCCAGCTGACCTACTGCTGGCACTTGGCACGAAGGGATCAAAGACACCTTTTTTACATAGTTCCCTTCATCACTGGCCCAGTACCAGTCCCAGCTTTAGCCTCGCTTTTTGCCCAATCCTCCGACCCCCACCCAAGCCCTCTCTGACAAAAATCCTCTGAGGCCTCAGTCGTCTAAGTTTCAGTCTTAGTCTCGGCGTTTGAGGAATTCGGGCTTGGGCTTTCGGGTTTGGCACTTCGGGAACTATCGCGCTTGCTCACTCCTCCCCCTCGTCAGGGTCCCACTGCCACCGTTGGTGCCAACACAATATGTCGTACTCGTCGCCATCAGCAGCTGCACTGTAACGACGTGCACTGGCCTTTCAGCCACAAGACCGGGACTTAACACCTCCAGCCGAAAGCCCCCTAACCCTAAATCTTAAGCCCAGGCCTTAATACCTAGACCTAAACCCTCAAGCTCAGCAGATTCGAGCTTCAAGCCACTGAACTCTCAAACCTTAAGCTCTCCATGCCCCAAGCCTGAAGCCCGAACTGACTCGGAATATCCTGGCTCCGTGTGGGCTCGGGCTTGTCCTCTTCAGTCTGAGGGCTTTGTGGGATTTATGGCTTGGGATGTTCGGGATGTTGGTGCGGCTGAGTTATGGGCCACGGGTCCAGAGACTTCGATTGGCGCTACTTAAGGAATCTTCCGTAGCCGATGTTGCGGATCCTGAACTTGGATCCTATGGTCGAACTGGCCTTTTTCAGCAGCCCTACTCAGGGAATCAAGAGCCGCTACGAAGTGGGGAGTGGTTTAGGGGGGGTTTGAAGAGTCCAGAGCCCTGGAGGCCCTTTCTTTCAGGGACGGGAAAACCTTCTGTTAATGGAGTTAATTCTGCGGGAGCATGTTCCTCTTCGGATCGTATGATGTGTTTCTCAGATGTTCTGAGCAGTGTTGGTTTGGGAATGAGGTCAGGATCTCTGAAGACAGATACCGGTTGGGGCATCTTCCTCACGCCCTGAAACCTCAAACCTCTCCAGAGCTCAAGGCCCAAGGCCTAAGCTCTGAAGCTCAAGAGCTGGCCGTAGAGGAACCAAAGCCGTTGCCTGCCTCAAGCGCCGTCCGTCGATCCATAATGACAAAAAGAAGATGAGAACCAGGGGAGTTGACAGTTTTGGTCCACATGGCGCGTAGCCATGGAATCGTCCGGAAGCCTCGACAGATCTGCTTCCTTGCGACTTTGGCTCGTGCCGAGTTGGGCCCAGCAGAGAGCCTCCTGTGCCAGAGTTCCTTGGTCCACTCCTTTGTGCTTTGACACTTCAACCCCAGAGCTTTCAGGTCTATGAAGGTGGAATACACATCCGAGCCCAAACTCCTAGACTACACCGCCGGAAACTCTAAGCCCCACATGGGATCTGTGATATCGGGGTGTTGCATGGGAGATATCGGGGTGGGTTTTGCTGATCGGAGGATTAGAGGCACGCAACGTGTCGTCTTTGCAAGGTGCGGGGAAGTGGGTTCCAGGAACTGGGGCCTCTCTCAGCAGAACAACGCTGTAGGAAATGCGTCCAATGCCCCATGCAAGAGCCCCGCATGCAAGAGCCCCGGATGCTCGAAGGTTCGTGGGGTAGCTTGTAAACTTGGGGACTTGGGGTACCAGTAGCTTGGAAATGGAGGTTAGGCCCTAGGCCCCATGAACCTTCAGGCAGCCCCGGGACCGGGAAGGTCTCCACTTGAGTTTCGAGCGCTGGACGCGGGCAGCTGGGCGCATCAGCGAGCCTCGTCCCTGGTTTTACCGCGCGACACCACGGCAGCATTGCCAGGATGTGGATGAGACCGTCAACCAAGCGTTTTTCGAGGCGACGTCTGTGGGCGAGTTTTTGCACGATCTTGAGAATTCAGCAGGCTATGGTATGCTGAGTGAGGGAAGACAGCTCCAAGCAGATCTCAGCAGTCTCGTGGCAGAGCTGCGACCAGAGTCGACGGTAAGCCAAGTGAAGCTGGCAGACCTTCCAGCAAAGGTGCCATTGCAGTTTGAATTCCCGAGCCTGGGCTCGGGAAGCATTGCCATCTCCTCCGACGTACAGGAGTATCGGGCGGATATGAACTGCCCAGATTCGATTTCTGCAATCCGGACCGTAGAGAACTGGTATCTTCCCCACGGCTTCGAGGTGATCTACCCTCTCTCACAGCCCCCCATCTCCAGGGGCTCCCTTCGAAAACTCCGGGTCTTGCCGTGGGCCCCGCGGCTGGTGGGCTGTCAGCCAAAGCTCTGGTACCGCAGCCGCCGTGGAAGAACGGAAGATGAGGCCTTGCGGTCTCTTCACCAGGAGGTCTGCAAGTGCCTGGTACGGGCCAGGAACAGCACAAACGTCTTCTCCGGTGCGGGGATTGCCGACTCAGACGTGGAGCTCTTTGTGCAGCTTCGGACTCTTGCGTTTTGGGCCAAAGACCCCATCCCGGTGCACGCATTCGTCATCGGCAACTCCTTCGGCTTCTCTGCCCTTGTGCTGGGACTGCTCTTTGCGAGAAACGGGTCCGCTTCCTCCGTCGGCTCCGTGGACGTCCTGGACGAGGAGCCGGACTCCTGCACACGCACCGGGGGGTGGCTGACACGGCAGATTGCACGGGTCCAGGGCCTGAACGTCTCCTTGACCAGGGGCAGGTCGCCGAAAGACGTGCCGAAAGCCATGCGGACGCGGACTTACAACCTGGCCTTCATTGATGGTGGCCACAGCACTTCACAATTGCAAAAGGACTTCGAGGCAGTTCAGCCGTTTTTGGCACAGCGCACCCTGGTCGTCCTGCACGACGTGGTCCTCTATGGAATGTACGAGTTTGTCCTGGGATACTTCAAGGAGCCGTGGCACATACATCTGGTAAAGGGCTGCGCTTACAAGAACATCTGTGGCACCGTGCTGCTGCACCGAGGCGACTTCCCAGACAATGCCTTTGAGTCGCTCTAACAGTAGTGCCAAACAGTCCGTGCTAGCGATCATGAATGCCAGATGCTCCCGTGAGAACAGGGTGCGTTACGAAACCTGATGTAGAAAAACCCGATGAACCATGACCGCAACACTTTGAGGCCCAATTGCAGGCATGCCATTTGAAAACACCTGCATGTAGCAGCAGGCAGCGTGTGTTGGCTTCCGCTCAGAACGAGTACTTGCTTCAGCTTCGGGAGATGTTGAGACTAAGCGGAGAGCTGCATGGTTGCTAGCTCTCTCTCTCTCTCTCTCTCTCTCTCTCTCTCTCTGCTCTCTGTCTCACTCAACTGCAACAAACAAAACCCACCACAACCTCAACAGGAAGGAGAAGAGCGATAGCAATGGCCAGGACAGGAACAATAACTAGAAGAACAACCAGGACCAGAACAGTAGCAATCGCAATAACAACAGCCATAGCAAAGTTAATTCCACAACTCAACTCAGAACGACAAGAAGATTCGAGGTTTTATCACCGCAGCCGCGTATTGTTCGCACCAGTCAGAGACATGTCAGACTACACCCAACGTTGTCGGGCCGCAGTCAACAACCAGAAACCATCCCTCAGCCAATTGACTGCATGATGGTGAAACCCCAATCCCTGACCCTCCCTGCACCCCAACCCTCAACTGCGAGCCCGAAAGACCAAACTGTTCAAGACATCACCACCTGCCTCCTTTCGCGACACGGCGAGCCTGCGGTGTCCGCGCGATGCGGCAGCGGCTTGGCAAGATCTGCAGCAAGCCGGGGAGACTAGTTACGACACCAGCAGTAGCAGTAGGCAGCGTAGCAGTGGTAGTGGAGGCATGTAAGTCGTGGTGTTTTTGGTGGTAGTGGCAGCATCAGCGGTGTTCGCTGCGGGTTCCCCTCGCTGAGTTCGGGAGGCATGTGCCGCAACATGTCGAAAACTTTGGCACGCTTCGCTTTCGGGGACTTCGCGGCGTTACGTTGTCTTTGCTTTGGGCCGGGGAGGGGGTAGGGGCTTTCAGTCTACTTTGTAGTTTTGCTGTGTAGCCGTTGCTGTAGGCCTGGTTCAGTCTGAGTCATCATCGTCATATCCATATCCATCACCATCGCCACCACCATCATCATCATCACCATCGCCACCACCACCATCATCATCATCACCATCATCATCATCATCAGCATTATCATCATCATCATCATCACCATCAACATTCATAGCACCACCACCATCATCATCATCGTCATCATCAAAGTCATCACCATCATCATCATCATCGTTATCATCATCATCATCATCATCATCATCACCATCAACATTCATAGCATCATCATCACCATCATCATCATCACCACCAACACCAGCATCGGCATCAGCACCATCATCATCATCATCATCCTCATCACCGTCATCATTACCATCATCAGCTGAATTCAAGGATGCGTTGGACTCCGCTTGCACCTGAACACTCCTATGGGCGTGTTAAGCTTGGGAGAATCCGCGTGACCTGCAGCACTGAAACAGGGAATGCGACAAGAGGAGGCATGCAGCATCACACAACCACGCTCTCTCGACTCTTTCCCCCCTCCCCATCCCGGACACATGTTTGACAAGCACAAAGACATGCAAATCTCTTGAGCAGCAGGTAAGAACTCCTTCAAACTCCCCGCCACCGCCCATCCCCCAGAACTACCAACCAGTCAATGCGCACACAGCGCCGAGTCCGAAGCCACAAGTCCAGAAGCACACCGTGAACGTCTGCACAGCACCGAACGGCAAAAGCATCGCAAACAACGAACGGAGAAGCAACACATGCAGAATACTACGGATGTGGCAACGCAATGCTTGTTACGACTACTTCAGCCAGTGCAGCTTTACTCAACAGCTAGTGTATGGTCATTCATTGGAGCCTTCAGTGACAGCGGGCCGTCTTGCAGAAGCTTCATAGGCGCTGAGTCTCGGCCGTGAGTGCCGACATGCCCAGAAGGTCCAAGGCGTTCAGGGTTTTGGGTTCAGGGCTTGAGGGGCTCCCCCAAACCCCAAACCCCAAAGCCTAATCTCGAATTCCTGCACCTTCCGTCTCTCTGAGGCGGCGACCTCTTCAGCAAGAGGTTGGAGGTACTGCTCCGCGATGCACTGGTTTAGGGTTTATGGCTGCTTCGCGATGTCGGTGGTGCGTGATGGTTTGTGTAAGGCTTCAGACAGGGCTAAAAGGCTTGAGGCTAGAGGGTTGAGGGTCATCAAGAGTTTCAGATTTTGGAAGTGTTGGGTTGGTATGACGTTTCGGGCTTTGGATCTGGATTCCGGGTCCAGTGTTTAGGCCTCTGGGGTTTCGCTTTCGGGGCTTGCGGGTTGCAGGGTCTGGGTCTGGGAGCAGGTTGGGCTTTAAGGTTCCTGTCTCGGCTCCCTCCAAGCATGAAGACTAAGCCCTGTCCCGCAAGCTGAAAAGCTGAAGCACCCAAGACCGGGAGCATTGATCCCCAAGCGAAAACCCACCAATTCGCCCTAGTCCGCGTAGGTGATGAGGACGCAGTGGCTGAGCGGCGCCGCCGAGCGAAAGAACAGGAGCAAGAGGCAGGGAGGCCTCAACCGTGAAGGACCTCCAATCCTCAAAGCCCACTACTTAGTGTTCAGCCCAGCATCCCCTAGATCCTGATTTCCGCGTCATGGCTTTGAAGTCAAGGTTTGCGAACACAGGGCCTGCCTTTCTGATGTTCTGTGTAGTTCACGGTTTGGGTCTCAGTCATTGCAACTTGGAGGATTTGCTTCGTCACACTTCGAGGGGTGGCGCCTGAAGTGCTCGGCAGTGTCGCAGAATCTGGTCTTGTCGATAGCGCGTGAATGAAACGATCACTTTCCGTCTGCCGTTTTCCAGTGGGGCTGAGGGTGGTGATGGCATCATGACGGTAGTCTGCTGCGCGGAGTTTTCAGGTCGCTGTGGCTCCTTGCGCTTTAACACTCCCTCCACGTGGAAACCCTGCGCCCCCTCCCAGAACCCTCGTCCCGAAGAGAACCCGCAAACAAAAACTCTCGCTTGGCAGATGGCTCCCTACGTTCTGGGGCTCGTCATTTTCATCGCCGTCGCGGTGGCGGGCGGGCTGATGTGGTTCTGGCCTGAGAGCTCCAGCCTTCATCGTGTTTCGGTCTCAGAGGCCCTGTGTCGGAACATGCCCCAAGACCTCATCTCTAGCTCTTACGGCCCCTAAACCTAAACTAGTTGTGCGCTGCACCGGCACCCTGCCATCTGGAACCTTGAGCCCTGACCCGTCAATCAACCGTCGAGCTTCCCATGGCACGCGAGCTTACTTTCTACCTCAAGCCCCAAGTACTAAACCCGAACGCCGGATTTCGTGGCCTTCGGAGTGGCTGCCGACAGGCCGGAAGCGTCACTAAGGCAATCTATGGGAGAAATACAGTATCCTTGACCCCACAAAAAAGTAGTCGACGGAGCCTGCTTCAAGGAATCCCTAAACCCTAAACCTTGTAACAGCAACCCGCATGTTTTAAGAACCCCTCTAATGAAGGTGGAACCCGCACATCGAGTTCCACAAAGCCCCGGCCAGCAAAAAGGACATGTCACGCGACGAGGTGGAGCTGCTATGAGCTAAGGAGTTTGGCGGTCAGGGCTTCAGGGTTTTTATCCCGCTTTCCTCCGACAACTTAAACCCGAGGGTTCCGGGGCGTGATACGTTTTGATTTTGGGGTTCAAGCGCTTCGAAGCTCGAGGGTCAAGAGTTCAGGGCTTGGGATTTCAGGTTTAGGGCTTTAGGACTTTAGGCTCTTATTGAAGCGGTCCCGACCATCATCCCTTTTGCTCAGTGGCGAGTGGAAGTCCAAATCTTTGCTCCAACGGTCCCCAGATTTGCTTCCCTTCTATGCATTCTTTCTACCCTAACAGATGCGACCGTAAAGGACTCACATCCCAACATCGCTGCTGCCTCGCGTAGACGAGTTGAAGCCTGACGGTGTCACAGCTTCAAATCCGCAGCCTTCCTTTCACCATCCCTCGCCCGTGTTTGGAATAAATGGCGGTGCTGTGAATTACGCACAAGAGCCAAGCCAGGTTTTCGCACACTTGCAAAACCACACGATTCTACATCTCGGTGGTATGCGGGGACCTCGGCCAAGGAGCAACGGAAGGTTCAGAGTAAAGCCGCTAAAGCCCCAAAGCGCGACGATTTTTTTCGGGGGAATCATGTCTGAGCTCAGTTCGGGGCTCCATGGGATTCAAAATTTATTGGGGCTGCGCAAAAAGGCAGGTTTCGGGTTCTGAGGTCTAGGGCAGTGTCGTTTTTTTTTTTTTTTTGGGGGGGGGGTTTAGGGTTCTAGCCATGGGATGAAGCAACAAAGCCCTAAGATTCCTTTTTGTTATGCGTTTATGTGGTATGGACGATTCTTCTATAGTTTGGCTGATCAGAGCTCAGGGTGGATGCACAAAGCGCAGCATCGCGCTGGAGCGTGCGCTTTCAACACTAAACCCAAATCGTCCATGCGGTTCAGCCCCTCTGCTCGTTTCCTTTCCATATTCTCAGTGGTCCGTCCGAAAATTAATATACATGCCGAGACCCTGAAGCCATAAAGCTCCATAGAAGCCCAAAGTAGAGTCCCTCCCAGAGCTCTTATGCATCCCTTGAATCCCTTGTGCAGCGATTCTAGGAAGTGTTACAGAAGCATTATATATCCATTGTAAATCCCTGATAGAAGCCATATACGAGGCACTTCACCGGTCTCACTTTGCTGGCCGAAGCCGTGAGTCAAAGTAGCGACGTCGCCGCCGACCCAGCTGTTCAACTGGGTCTGCGGGGGCTTTCGGGGGGCTTTGGAGGTTGTAGGGTCCTAAAGGCCGTGGGGTTCCTGGGATTTTCGGAGCTTCAGACTCCAGGCTGAGTTCTTGGGCTTCAGGGCCTTGGGGCTTTGGCTGGGTTGTGCAGTTCTGAGGGTCAAAAGGCCGGGCCGGCGCTTGCGAGGCTTCCGCCAGGGCAAAGGTCTCAGGGCAGCGGCTTCTGGTCCATGGCGGGGTTCGGGTTTAAGTGTTGAGATATCAGGGTCTGAAAGTTGCAGGTGTTCTGTTCCAGACTTTAGGCTGGGGATGTCAGACCCAATTAGGACTCAACTATACCGACCCTAAATGTTCGGGCTTGGACCCCTTGAACGGGTATCTTAGCGTCAACGCTTCAAGCTATGACGCCCTGCAGCCGCCAACAGCACCTTAAAAGCCCACAATTCCCAAACAAGCCGAATCCAAAGCCATCAGCAGCCCCCTCGGGGCCTAACCCGCCGGAGCTGAAGGCCGGGATGCGGCATCAAGAGGGCTCAGACCGGCGCAAGGCCGGCAGGAGAGAAAAGGGGGCCCGGAGGATTGGTTACTCATGGTAGGAAGTAGTATTCCCTTATCTAATCTATTGTCCTTGTATCAACGGGTTAGACAAGGCAACGTGTTTTGCAGGGCTTTTGCAAGGGTTTAAGGAGCTTATTCTGATTGGTAAGGCCCCTTTAGTAGCTCCCGGGAAGTTTCTTGAACTCAGGGGTGCCTTTCTGGTTTAAGTTGTGCGTATAAGGTTCCTGCAGGGGCAAGGGGTCGATAAACATTTCCTTATAGGTGTAGGGCGTCTAATTGGCTTCTGAAAGCTGATAAGTTTCCTCTTCCAACAACCTTGAAATTCCGGATTCTTCTGACACGGCCGTTTCGATGACTCCGATGAGGATTGTTTTCTAAAGTGTGAAGCTTAGGTTCACTTTAGTAATGTTTTCACCGCTTGTTGCTTCATGCAAAAACTGCGATTCTCTGTCAATGCCACCATTACCCTGCAGGCACATTGGGTAAGCGACATCTCCAACGATGGCCGGACTGCCGCGATTATCACTTCGTGTGTGCGAATTGGAATCTCGCCTTCCTGCCTCCTACCTTCACAGATTCAACGCCCAAACCTTCAACCACAAACCCCAAAGCCTTGCCCAGAACTCAGCAAGACCTAAGCCATGAACCAGGGCTCAAACCCTGGATCTGGATCCTTATTCCATAAGCCTAAATCTGAAGCTTCCATCCCGGAGCCCTAAGTCGGTGATGACACGTTTCCAATAAAGGGACATTTCTTTCCTACTTTACAATGTGCCAACACCCGGCATCAACCCTTCTAGAGCCATGAAAAAGCCCTCAAAGCTTCTTCATCCTAAGCCCTCGCCGCAGCCCTACGCAAGCCTATCGCCGTGAACGGAAGTGCGGGACAGATTCCTGTCCTAGGGTCCTGCTTTGTAGTTTCAGGCTTTTGCCTTGCTGTGGCCTCATATCCTAACCCCTCAACCCCTCGACGCCCATGAAGCTTGAACATTAAATGTCCCGAAGGCCCGTCGAGGCCCCTTTTGCATATTGTGCAAATGGCAGCTGTGATCATCGAAGATCTGCACGGGCCATTCTGACATGCAAACTCCGAACTAGGCCCTAGGCATCCTTAGACGTGCATCTTCCCGACACCGTTCCCGAAGGCCTCAGCCCGAAGCCTCCGAGTTCGCCAGGCATCTTCCTGCAGAGTGTCTATCCGAAGTTCGGATTAGATCACAAGCAGTTCTTCTTCCGGACCGGCCGAACGCGGAATTTAGAATTTCGAGATAATAGTGCTCCCTCTTTGAATAATGCTATTTGCATTGTTGTTCTTGTTGTCGCTGCTACTCTTGTCGCTCGTGGTTGGCGCCATGTATGAGTGCAGTTATCAGTGCATTGTTGCATCATGCTTGTCTTGCGTTGGCGGACCAAACTAGTTCAAATCATTGTATGCCCTGTTTCGATAGTAGTGATGCCACTTTCGCGTTGACCCTATTGTTAGCATCCGTGATGTTGTAAAATGTGGTACCCTGACTGCTACAGAGCGACTGTTTCTGTTTCTTCTCGGAGGGCTGTGCTGATGCATTGCCGCGTTGTGATGTAGTTGTTTCTGTTGACAGACATGGTATCGACTTGTAAGTCCTCAGCCTGTAAGCCAGGAATTTTGATCATGCTACATCTCTTTCCATAAGGATGTTCTCTTTCACTTTGCAGTTGCATCTGTCGTTTGTTCAGGTGTGTTCGAGCACATGATTTTGTTGAGTTCGTCAGTTCTTGCAGTGTGCAGACTCTTTTTGTTTCTCTCGCTCTCTCTCTCTGCTGACCAGAATGCGAAAGGGGGTTCTGCCAGTATCGTTGGTGTGACAGCAAGCACTCCGCTTCCGTCTTGCAAGTCGGAGGCGGCTGTACGGAACTAGCTGTTCCTGTGCGCTCGACCCTTACATCTCGGTTTCGTTGGAAGCCGATCCACAGCAGGAAGTGGGTCAGCAAGTACGCCAAGAAGATTTTTCCACAGTCGATGGTGGTGTCCCGACGGCAGAGTCTGTTAGTTTCTAACCCTGTGTTCGTTGCTTGCTTTTCCTGCAGCTTGGGGGGAAGACTGCCACCATTCGAGATGCGGAGACTGTGCACAGCCTGAAGCTCTTTTCAATCAGCCTGACAGTGTGCCGGCAACAGCCGTTGCTTGATGATTGTATACTGGAGCAGTCTCACTCCTTGTTAGTTGCAGCGTAATCAAGGTCGTGTCAGTGTAAGCCTGTCAGTGGTGACCGCCAAAGACGACGTCGATTTTGGAGACTGGCGCTCGAACAGACTGATGTAGTCCAGACTTCTTCGAGCAAGCTTCCCAATCTTCATCCCAGGCAGACACAGGCCCTTGTGCAAACATTTGCGAGCAAGGGTTTGCAGAACCATGTAGACAGCAATGCCCTCGTGTTCCCGCGGGAAAAGGGTCAGCTTGAGAACATAATATGCATGCTGCTGCAGGACTGCAACGTTTGTGAAACGGATTGAAGAACTGTCTTGGCAACACAGCTGTCGTTAGCAGCCCAAATGCTCCAAACCCTAAACCCTCTGGGAGCCAATCAGGCTCAGGCTCAGGAACCCGCACAAGCTCCAGCACCGCTGGGACCCCCACAGCCCTAGCGCGCTTCGGACGAGGAGAAACTCTCTTAAAACCCCTCTTCATCCCCGAACCTCGTCGCAGTGCCCGAAAGCAGCTTAGGAGAAGTCCAACTGGATGACGCTGCAGGGAGACCTGGAGCTGTCCCTTCTCTTCGTGTCTTCGTGGTGGTTTCGGGAGAGGGCATTCGGGCGGCGTTTATCGACTTGGGGTTGAAGGCTTCGGGCCTGGATAAGGGAAATTCCGGCGGTAGTTTGTCACCAGCGGCATGGCATTATAGACTTCGTCATGGTGACGAGTTCGTTAGTTTCATAGTTGCATTGTTGCCAGCATTGTGCCCACTCACTATTTTGTCCTCATCTTGTTCTCAACGCAGTTGCTGTCGTGACTGCCGGAATGATTTCGTGCTCGCAGTTTTGCTACCATTTCTGCGAGTGTTCTTGTTGTTGTCACCCTGGCTGCTATGATAACTGCTTGTGGTCCTTATGATGACCACTGCGATTCTTCCGCCTGCACAGTGTTCACATTTGCACTGTCACGGTGATGGCGATGCTGAGGGTAGCGACGATGGTCACGATGATAGCGGTGACGATCGCGACTTCGGCGATGATGAAGATGAAAGCGGCTGATAGGGATGACGTTGTTCTTGTATCTACGCTAGTGCAGCTCAGGTTTTCCGCATCAGCCGTACGAAACGGAGGAACCGCCCGAAGAAGAGTTTTGACTGGCGATGCGCGGCTCGCAGCTTCCGAGGCGGGACGGCATCGGCCGCTTCGCTTTGCACCCGGATCATCGCGTGAACGAGAAATCCTCTCTGGTGGAGCCGAGGGCGCAGGCGGGCCGCAGACGCTTTTTGGGTCCCTTCTTGCGGCTTTTGGGGCTTGGAGTTGAAGATTCGCGCCCTTCCCGTCGTGACTGCCGTGCCGGCCGTTTTGGGGTTCCGGGCGCAGAAAGTTTGGGGTTGAGTGTGGTGAGGCGCATCGTAAGGAGCGTTCAGACTGGAGCTTTGACGCGTTTTTCGGTGAGGCTCTGGTTGCGGGCTTAGTGGCTTAGCCTCCAAGATGTTTCAAGCTGCCAGGGAGCCGTGGGACTCCTTCTGTTCCAAAATCGTTAGCCTTCGTATATTCTTCGCTTCATCTGCACTTTTGATGACTGCACCCGCTGCACTGCACAAGGTTCACCTCTTCAGCGAGTGGGCGCTGTTTTGGGATCTGGGCAAGAAGGCTTCCAGGGTTTCAAGCTTTTTCACTCTGTTGGACCTGCTGATGGGAGCCCGGCGCAATGCAAACAGAATTGGTCGGAGACCAGAGCTGCGATGCACTCGGAGATTAATTGGTCAAGCTGTAACCACGTGCTGCGTGGAACTACGCGATGCAACTGCACTGCCAGACTTGGCCGCATGTGCAAGCTTCTCCATAGTCCGAAGGGCATATGCATGTGGACATGCAGAATGCTGCTCGATGCCATCCTATCCGCAAGACCATGTCTCGATTAAGAATGCACCATGTGAACACTGTGTAACACCCGAAGAGCTAAGGCGCTGAAGCCTTCCAGCTAGTTGCAGCAAGCTGCAGCCTGTACTATGGCTGCAGATCTCGTTTCTCTTGTGAATTTGCGGAAGCACCGGAACTTTTAGAAGCCTTCTAACTCGTGTAGCGTCCTTGAGCAACACCACTTGAGAAGTTTCATGCGTACTTAATTGTAGGTTGGGCTAGAAGTCTCCTTAACTGGGCAGACAACTTGATATCCTTACTCATGGCCGAAACTTCCAGGTCTGATCTTGCTCCTGTAAAGCCATACATCCCCGAACCCTCAAAGAGCCCGCAAGCCGAAGGTTTTGTTGGAGAAGTCGCATTCCAACCTCGCCGCAGCCCGAGACGGTGGAAGCTCGGAGTAGATGGCTCTCGACCACCACCCTCGCCGCCACCACCACCACCACCACCGCCACCACCACGGTTGTGCCTGCCCAAGGTCCGACTGAACCCCGTTCAACCCCCGAAGCAGTTGTCCGAAACGAAAGAGTCTGAGCGGGGCACTTGCTAAACGCAGGAGCATGGCGACAGGTTTTCGCCCCGTTCACCCGAAATGTGGGAACGGGAGCTGAACCAATCAACGCGGAGAAAGGCACGGCAAGGTCTAAGATGGCAGGGCAAAAGACCTGAAAGCAACCGAAATGTCCATCCCGAACCCGGAAGCTGTCGACGGCCCCCTTGTGTCCCGAAGTCCAATACTCAAGCTTGCCGAAGGAAGGCTCCGGAAGCCCTGAACGCCAGACCCCGAACTCCGAGCCTGAAGAACGCCCGAAACCCAACGAGCCCAAAACCCCTTGTAGCCAACCCACGCAGCGTGCGCACGCACCGCGTGCCTTTTCCCGGGGCTGTTTCAGCAGGTGGCCTCCCCCTTCCTCCACAGCCTCTGGGGCCTGGATCGAACGTCGAGCCAGGGCTTCCCAGCCTTCCTTTTGGCGCCTCTAGGTGTTCTTCCGTTTTCTCCTTTTGCGTTATGGGCAGTTATGGGGTTGTCTTGGCCTCACGGGGCTTCATGGGTTTGTCGTGGGTGTCCATTTGGGTGAAGGGTTTTGATCGTTTCTGAGGATGTTCGGGTTGAGTTGCTACGGACGGTCTTGCGGCTCCATGGTTTAAGGTTGTTGGGCACTTGTACTGTTTGTTGCCTGTGGTCTTACATTCCTCTCCCTTAGCAGGTTACAGTAGGTATGCTGATGTCAAGGATGTCCAAGCGATACACCGGCACATGCACAGCGGAAGTCACATAGATCATAGATCCCGCTAAGGGGGCGATAGGTTGGCAGAAGACAAAGAGACCTTAGAAGCAAGTCCTGCAAAAGACACCGGAGCGACTTCGATCCTCGGCCTGAGTACTGCACCCAACGGATGCTAACAAAGGCCCCTTCGCCTTCTCAGTCGAAGATTCCACGGCGCTATCTGCGATACTTGCTTCGGCGGTTTCACCTTGCTTTGGACATCTGCTTCAACTTCGCAGTACGCATCCAATCCTTGGCTCACGGAACCCTGAATTGGATGTCTATTCTTAACTTGTCTGCTGGGTTTTTGCTTTCAGCCTGAGCTTGTCTTGTATTGCGCAGGCCCGGCACGCTTCGTCTTCCTGCAGCGGCATCCGCTGGCGCGGATATGGGCTTGGTTTTAGTGTTTTCGGGGTTTGGAGTTTGAGGTTTTAGGGTTAGATATGTGGGTTTGGGGCTTAGGAGAAGAATTGCAATCGGACAAAGTTCGGATTTGCTCACTTGTGTTGAGGCTTCAAGGCCGCGGTCCTTGTTTGTCTTTAGGTTGTGTGTTTGCTCCCCAGCGAACATAGCTGACATGGTTCCCAGACCAAGCTCCAGAAGCACAAGATAGCCCGAGACCTGCAACCCCTTACAGTAATGCCTCCAGGGTTTTGGCGCGTGAGGGCTTTTTTTGCCAGTTTTCTAAACTCAACCTTTTCCAAAGATGCTTTGGGGGCTTCGGGATCGGCGCTCTTCTTGCAGGCGCTGGGCCTCTCGACGATCCGGAGGGCGGGGCGCGTGGCCCGAGGGCCCAGTCGAGTCTTTGGGGGCGTGTTTCACGGGGAAGTGCGACGAATACATTGGTCTCATTTGTGCTTTCGACATTCTGAAGATGGACGAAGTCCCAGCACAGAACAGTTCTAGTGGTGGTGCTCTCCAAACGCTCGCAGTGATGCTGGTTGCTGATCGTGGTTCTGGTATCTTCCTTCGAGGGTCTGCGTGAGGCAGGGGATTCAAGTTGAGGTCGGACATTGAGTTAAAGGTTTTGAGGCTTTGGGCCTTGGTTTGGGGTCTAGGATTCTGGTATTAGGTTTTTGTAGGGTTTGGGTTTAAGCTTCGGGTTCTGGTTGAGGGTTTGTTTAGGGTTTAGGGTTTGTTTACGAGCTCCAAAACTCTCGATCCTAAATCATGCACCCAAAGTTACACCTGCTTTGGTAAGCTTTAGTCGTTTGGAGTATAGGGCTTAACGGGGTTCTATGGCTTTGGCAATATGGCAGTGGGGCTCGGGTTCAGGACTTGCGATCCAGATTCGCGCCAGAAACCCCCGAACCGCTGGTGTTCCAAACGGGTTGTAAAGTCACTTGAAAGAAGCTTCAACCGTTTTGCACCATACTACATCCCAAACCCTGCAACACCTAAAGCTCGCACCCGAAACCCTAACAAGAACCGAATAAACCGATGAGTACCCCGCTGATAAAACGCGGACTCAGGTGGACGACCTTTCCTTGGAAGACATCATCGCAAACTGGCTGGCTGGAGAGGAGAGACTTTGCCATGCCAAAGCAAAGACTTGCTTGGCCAATTGCTGTTTGTTCAACAGGATGTGTGTGTGTGTGTGTGTGTGCGTCTGTGCGATGTTTGCCTGGTTTTCTGGGGGGGGGGGATGAAGAACATGGTCCTACAGGGTCCTTATTGGATTTTTTGAGGGTTTTTTAAACGAGTTTTGTGAGCGTTCCGTAGTTTATAGGTCTTACAATCTGAGGGTTCTGCAGGGTTTTCATGTACTTAGCCAGTATTTGCGATGTTCTGGGTTCTGGGCTCTGCATATCGTTACTATGGCTCTATGGAGAAGCTTGAGCTTCTCATTGTCTGGTTATCCAAGGAGAGAGCAGGGCAAGACAACGAGGGTTGTCTCGGGCAGACTCAGGGCGCCGTCTTTCGATTCCGGGGGCTCAGCGACCTGTCGCTTGTGCTGGCACAAGCCCCTTGCAAAACCCTTGTAGTGTTTGAGGTCCGGTTTCTTGCGCGTAACCCAGGAATCCTTAAAGTCGGGTTTTGGATGTTGCAACTGCGGCTGTTCGAGTGTGCCCCGAACACTCCTACAGCATGTCCTAAGCCCAAATGAGTGCTACACGTGTCAGGTTTTGGGAAGCCTATACCCTAAGCCTCAAGCCATGGCAAGCTCCAACGTGCTTTTGAAGTTTAGGGTTTTCACGTGAGTTGTGTGGGTTTCAAGTGTGCCAGGAGCGAAGAGTGGAGGACGATGCTTCTGCAGTGTATGGTTTAAGAGATCGAGGGCTTCAGGCCACTTTGCAGAAGCCGTGAACGCCTAGGTTTTCTTCCTGGATAATGCTTAGGTTCAAGCTCTTCAAGCTTGTGGCCTGCACGCTTTCGTACAATTGCACGGCACGCACTCATACACGGAGCGAGAGGGAGAGAGAGAGAGAGGTAGATAGATAGGGGAATTATATACATATATATATATGTATATACACACACACACACGCATGCGCACAGCGTGTGGGCAGCTCTTGACGATTAGATTGCTTGTGATCCCTCCAAAATGCCTCCGAGCCGCACCAGAAATTGTCGACACGCACCAGCCCAAGCAACAACAAGCGTTTAATGCCCAAAACGCAAAGCTGGGCTTCACTAGTCATCACAACCTAACCACGCAGTGTGAAGATCTCCCAGTGCCACGAGGCCATTCTTGTTGTCACCGGCTCTAGTCGAAGTCGTCGTCGTCGTGTCGTGGTCGTCGCCTGCAGGGCTTAGCCGGGTTTAGGGCATGGAGTCGAGGCTTCAAGATTTCAGGGTCTAGGCTTTAGAGTTGACAGCCACAGCTTGTGCAGGATTGGCGCAACTACTTCGAGAAGTACGGCGTCGGCAAAGATGCCTACCGCGTGATGCAGTTTGAGGCACCATGGCATTGCAAAGCACCTTAATGATGACAGGCGTCGTTTGTGAGACGGCTGTAGCTGTTTTCTTGCTCTGCACTCTGCAAGTCTAACTTCCACCTTCGTCCATTCGTTGTTTGCGTTGTTGTCCTTGTGCTATCGTGGCTTACCCCAAGCCTTGTCTATTCAACTATCTTCTGCCTCTTGCGACAAGCTTTCAATCAACTCACCTTTAAACCTGCTCAAACCAGCTTGATCCCTTGGTTTGTAGCCTGCTAGGAGCTTCCCTAACTGGGATCTTCGGGTTGGGTGCCTTCGTGAATTTGGGTTCGGGGTGGTGAAACTGAAAATCTAAACCTCAAGTCCCTAAGCCTCAAACCGAGGGACTTGCACACACTAAACCCCAAGCCCGTTAGGACCATTAGGCTGCACTAGGTTTCGGGTTCTTCAAACCTCTGTTCCCCTCGGCCTAAACACCAACATCCGATTCCGTGACAAGGATATCCTCGCAGACCCTCGGAAGGACACGCTTGGGTTTGGGCATGTGGGGTCCGGGATGCTGTCAGCATCATCGCCATCTTCATCCCTCTCGTGGCTGATGATACGAGTGTTCATCATTTTGCTTCGTCTTTCTGTGGCTCTCCTCGAACGGCTTCTGCAAGCATGACAGTGTTTCGCACTCCGCGACTATTGACAGCCCGTAGCTGTTGGTATTACTTTCGAGAGCTGCCTAGGTCCCTGAGTTCACGGCACGGTGGCATGCGACCAGTGTTCGAAATCGGGCTTCGTTTTCCAGAACCTAAATCCCAAACACAGCCTTAAACCCAAAACCATAGTTTAGGACAGCCCCTCCCGCATGTTGACAGTTTGCGGCTGGGCAGGTGATTTCAGTTCTGGGTGAAGAGCTGGAGTGGAAATTCGTAGTTCGGTTGCGGCATGTTGCGGTTTGCAAAGGCTTCAAGGCACGGGGTGCCGTTTCTCGGGTTAGGATTCAGGTTTCTAGGCTAGGCGTAGCTTATAAGCACACAGTCCAGGGCTTAAGGTTTTACTGTGTGCAGTGTGTTCAGGGTGGCTCGCAGCAGCCGTGTGCTTCTGCAAGCACTTCAATGACTTTTCAAGGACTTTTGAAGCCAGAAAGCCGAGAAGAGCCCTCAAAGGGTCGTTTAGGTTCTCAGGTAGAAGCCACAGCGCATCGGACTGCAAAGTTAATAAAAATCAGACACCGCCGAACCTCTCCCCAAGCCTTGTACACACTCTTCGCTTAGAGCCCAAACTGCAAGATCGTATTGGGTTCTTCCATGAAGGCCCTCACAGAGCTCTTTGAGTGGCTCGGTGTGCCGGCAGAAGAGTCCGCTCTTCGCTTCATTCAGGCGCAGAGGGCTCGGGTAAGCTTGCTAGAAGCGTCTGTGACACTCCGAGCCGCCAGCCTTCCAGAGCCCGGTGCTTGTTGTTGCGGAGTTTACCTGACGAGCTCCAGCAGGAGGGTGTCGATGCCCGAGTCAGCTAGTTCAGCCTTAGATAAACTACCTACTAAGTGCCTTCAGCCTCTGTCGCCAGAACACCACTTGATTTTTTGGAGGTAGAACGGCTCGGACGCGACGGCCAGATTGAATCGACATCAATCGCAGACAGTAGCAGTGCAAGGTTTCATCGCCCGTGTATCCACGGGAATAAGACCAAGCCGAGAGCTCGAACACTGGTACATGCAACCACCCAGACTCCGAGCTCACAGCACATGAGCTCGTCTGCCCCTCAAAGCTGCAAAACTAAATGAGCGGCATTGGGCCCAGAACGATCAAGGTAAGCATGTTAGACACCGGACGAAAACAAGTAAGCTTTACCAAGACTTCCTAAAGCTCATGTAAGCCCGTACCTGAACGATCCGCCAGGGGAAACTTAGCAAAGATGCCAACGAGAAGCACTTCGGGCTTTACTGCGCCCGAAGACCCGGTCTGGGGTATTCAGGGTGCAGAGAGCGAGGCTCGGGTCTTTGATACTGTGGAACCAGGCCTGTAAGCCTCTAAGCACAGAAGCGGGACATGCGGCCCGTACTACGAGAGCATATGTTGTCCTTGCTTTTGGTCTGCTGTTGATTTTGAAACCGGGGGGCGGTGAGGCTTAGGGTTGGGTGCCGTGAGGGCATTCGGGTTAGCGAATAGGTTGTGGGCAGCTTCCCGGGAAACTGGGAGACTTAGAGCTATCATGTGCCTCTTCGAAGTTGTAGCAGTCCCCTTTAAGGCACCGTTTCCAGAAACAACTTAATCAGCAAAGACAGGCAAAAGGCCCAAGCCATGATTCAAAGTTAGTCAGGGGTCCACAACCGAACCTCCCTCCACCCTCGACCTCAGCGAAGCGTCGTGCGAACTTAGGGGTTTAGTAATCGACCTTAGTGCTTCGGGTACCGAATGAACCCAGTTAGACCGTTAGACCCTCAGGCCCTTTGTTTCTGAACTAGGTGCAGGGAAGCTTCAAAGGCTCGGGTGGGAGAGCTCAGAGCCTGCGCCTCACGAGCTCACGAGCCCAGGACCACTTAGTCCATGGAGACCACCGGGTCATCGACGAGCACCACAGGCCCCCCGAGTCTGCCATAGGACAGGCGCCTTCCGGAGCTTGGGCCTCCAGGGTTGTCGCTTTCGGGGCTCTCTCTCTCTTCGAGGGGACTTCTCTTGCTTCTGCTGTCGTAGTTCCTACTACATGCAGCTGGAGCTTCTTCGGGCATAGGGGCTCAGGGCTGAGTGTTCTTCAAGCGCCCTCACCCTTGCGGGTTGATGTCTTCAATGTACAGGGTTGATGGTTGCGGTCTCGAAAGTTGGGGTAGAGAGCCCTGCTGGAATCGGGATTCTCCCCAAGCCTTCACATGAGCAGCTCAGCGTTTCGCAAGCCCCAAAAACCTTGGACCCAAAAACCAACAGAAGGAATGGGGATAATGGCGACCCTTCAACACACATTCCTCATCCCTAGAAGCCCAAGACCCAAAGCTCCAAACCGCAAAATCCCAAACCCCAAACCCTACAACCCTAAAGCCTCAAACCCGAAACCCTGAGGCCACCGTCCTACTCTAGGCGCCTTAATAAGTTCCCGTATATATATATATATATATATATATATATATATATATACTATTTTGGGCCCCAAAAAACCATGGGCTCTAATTTACCAGGGCCCCCCCCCATGCTCTAAGCGCCCCCCGTGCAGGCTCGTACAGAGATTCCGGTCCAGAGTCCTTCCCTCACGGGGGTCATTATGGGGGGTTTGGGGGCGATGCAACACATGGGCTCTAGTTACTAGGGCCCCCCCCCCCCATGCTCTAAGCGCCCCCCCTGAGCAGGCTCGTACAAAGATTCCGGTCCAGAGTCCTTCCCTCAGGGGGGCATAGTCATGGGGGGTTTGGGGGCGATGCAACACAGCATCGAGTCCTATGGGGGGTTTAGGGTTTAGGGTTTAGGGTGTAGGACTATAGAAACTGTATAATTATTTCATATAATGAGGAGTCTGTAGGACTAGAAAGAAGCAGTAATTGTCTTGCTTGAGCTTGCTCAAACTGCTCGCCCCATCACTCATGCTTCAAGCATCCATGTTTCAGTTCCAGATAGTCCAAAGCCCCTTTACTTGAGAGCCCTGCATAATTGAAGCAAGATCCCGTAGTCCCGGCGCATTGACATTGAGTATCGGAATTTCCGGTTCATGGCAAGGCGGCAGGTAGGATGTGGGCCATGGGCAGCGTATCCACCATTTGCAGGGTTTGCTCCCAATGCCCGCCCGAAGCATTCCTGGTAACGCAAGGCTTCCTGGTAGCTCGCTTGCTGAACATCAGGGGCTCGGCTGATCGCTAACAATCAAAGATTCAACTTCCCTTGCCGTCCCAGAGCAGTGGCGGGAAACGCAAATGGACTTATCATCAAGGCAAAGAACCAAGGCAAAGAGCTTGCTGCTACACCGTTGCAGTCAACACACCACTTCATAGAATCCAGACCCAGTGCGCAAAACCTGAGAGGTTGGCCTTACAACAAGGTTCCCAAGTTCGGAAACATGTCATTCGACAGTGCAATTACAGCTTACCAGGGAGCCACTGCGCGCTGCAAAGCCTTGAGCCTCTGTCTGGGATGTAAAAATACACGCCGAGGTCTTGGCCGTCTCCTCCTACGACCTCGCAGCTCAGCTTGGTTTTTTGTCTTGTGACCTTTCGGTTCAGGATGGCAAGACCTCAAAGCCGTGTCCAGCGGTCTCAGTGTGGCAGCAAGAGCTTCAATTGTTGACTTTTGTTGTTTCGCATCATCAGAAGCCCCCAACATCGCAATTCCATGGTTTTGCAGCAACGCTGCTGGAGCGAACTCAATTTGCAAGCCCCTGAACCCCTGGAAGTCTTGGCTTCAAACCCGAAGTTAATGCAGACCTCAGTGCGACATCTGAAACAGCCGAAACATCCTGATTCTGGTCTGAGCCGCTGGTCTGACCTACAGGCAAAGGTGCCCCAGATCTGTCGCGAGGCCTCACCGGCTTGATCGAAGGAGCCCTGCAGAAGACTACGATTAATTACATCTTATACTACAACTGTAGAAGGACTTGAGCCCCGACAAGACTAGACGGCTTGGGGCTGAGGGTTTCGAGCTGGAGGCTGTTTGGGGTCCGGCTCCTCTGTCTGTGTCTGTGCAGTGCATGCTCGTAGTCACCAGGCTTTGGGGATCTTCGCGGTGGTCAAGAGGGTTTGGGGGATTCCTGAGGTCCCTAAGCTGGGTTCAGGGGAACCCCTCGAAGCACTTCGAACACTGATCCCTGGAGCCGCTGGGATGTCTAAAGCCGCGCTGACGAGCAGCATAAGCTTGTCTGACACCCAGCCATGCGTATGTATGGAACGCAAACCACCAAATAGGCATGTCGGGGAGAAAACTAGCGTGCTAAGTGCTGAGTCGATGCTTTGCAGGCGCTCGGTAGCGCTTTCTTGAACTGCGACCTCTGAAGGTGCTCCTCGGGGAAACCTCGTCGGCCTCAGTGCCGCAGAACGAGCGCCCCTTTGGCTGCAGGCTCTAGTCTAGGCCGGTTGAGTAAAACACCTACAATGGCTTCAGGGGAGAGAGAGCCAATTCGAGGGAAGTAAGCATGATCCGTAGCCTCTGCCCGGTACTTATGAACTCCGCGATCCCAATCGAAAACCTCCGCCAAACACAACGCACCATCGCCATCGCAATCAGCATCGCCGTTGCCATCGCCCGGCCTCAGCATCACCGTGATTGTGATGACGGTCATAGTGAGAATGATGATTCTGACCATCGCGTCTTCAATCCCCAGTCCAACGGGGTCATCACTGCTCAAGCCCTAGCCCTAACTCACAAACTGCCGAGCCAACTTCTGGATGCCGTGAGACGATCGAGCCCTTCAACCCCGAATCTCAAAGCCTTCTCGACCCATAGCAAAACCGATAACACCCTACCGAAGCCTCTGAGCCCGAAGTCCGAGGCCCGGCCTAAGGTGTTCTGGACCTTTAAGTGTAAACACAGCCTTAACCCTAAATCCTAACCCTCAAAAACATGTCAAGACACCTCAACCACGTGATGACCGCTCTGGACAAGTTACACAAGATGTGGTAAACGAGGAGCTCGTTGAGGGTGATATGGTGAGTGTGGTGGTGGAAGAAGCTGGTGTGGATGCTGGTTCGGAGATCTCGTCTTCGACTGCTATGGGAAGTGCGGTTGGTGGTGGGTTGTCTTCGGGGACTACATCAAGTTTGAGTGATGGGCAACACATGCGTCGTAATCGCAGTCGCAGTCGTGATGAATAAGTCCAAGGGGAACGCGGGTGGCGTCTGAGAGAGGGATTCAACAGTGCATGCTCTATCATGAGCAATCTCGAACTCTGCTGGAAAAGGGGCTATTGCACTTAAAAAAACATATCAAGCATCTTCTAAACCGTCTAATACCCTAAACCTACAAATGGGAGTTTACGAAAATAGGGGGACCCTAATATAGTACCCGAAATAGTAAGATCCTTTGTGTAAGGACCCCCAATCAAGGTGACCCTAAACCTTCAAATGTCTAAAAGAAAGGGGAGCGTTTTGCTCTGAGGCTCCGAGGTCGAAGCGAAGCTCGCCGAGGAAGAGGCTGCCGAGGCCCAGTTCGGCAGATTATTTCGGGCATGTATTGTACATATATATATATATACATACATACATACATACATATATATATATATATACATATGGGTGGTTGTCAAAATTATGGCCCCTTGTGGGTCCTTAATAAAATACGGCACCTATTATTTGAGGTACCCAAAAAGACCCCAATTTTGACAACTACCCATATATATATATATATATACATACATACATACATATATATATATATATATATATATATATACATATGGGTGGTTGTCAAAATTATGGCCCCTTGTGGGTCCTTAATATAATACGGCACCTATTATTTGAGGTACCCAAAAAGACCCCAATTTTGACAACTACCCATATATATATATATATATCTATCTATATATATATATATATACATACATACATACATACATATATATATATATATACATATGGGTGGTTGTCAAAATTATGGACCCTTGTGGGTCCTTAATAAAATACGGCACCTATTATTTGAGGTGCCCAAAAAGACCCCAATTTTGACAACTACCCATATATATATATATATACATATATATGTATGTACGTATGAGAACAAACAAATAGGTAATTAGATAAGACAAACAATCACACAGGTAACTCAACAGAAATACATACTTTTCTGTATATTAGTATATGCTCTCTCTCTCTATATATATATACACACATATATACACATGTTTTCTTCATGGAAGGTTGTTAAGTAAGGGCGTAAGGGGGTAAACAAGAATTCCTCACTATATTAACAGGATGTATAAAGGCTAGAGCGTAAACCTGATGTGCGGGGATCTTGCGGATGTAGCACTAGGGCCTCTTTGGTGGATCAAGATTTAGGGTTCAAGATCAACTCTGCAGTGTAGTGAGTTCGATGTGTCACGCAGGCAGCTATGGACGGCAAGAAACGTTGACGGGCAAACTTCCATCTTGTCCCATGTACAAAGCGAGAGCGATGTCTGCATAGAGCACTCAATAGCAGTGTGAATGCTGTCCCGGCATCTGCGTGCCAAAAGGCTTGCGTTTCCAGACCCGGCCTCCATGACATGATGGCTCGTACAGGCATGCAGCGAGCAGAGCAGTCATGATAGAAAGATGAGAATGCCTCTAGAAGATCATCCACGGCCCAACGAGACGAGCGTCCATGTTACCAGCAGGTGCCACAACGACGCAATGATCACGACATGTTTGGTCTTTAGGGGCCTCTCCCGGTAGGAAGGATGTCCACACGACCGGCTGGAGCAGTGTGGCACCTGAGTCAGACTTGTCACATCAACCGTCGCGTTACTGCTCAAGCTCTATAGCCGCCTTCGGACAGTGTGACCTTGCTCTAGTCACCCGCTCAGCTATAGGGCATTCTCTTCGCTTCGAAGAAGGGGTTCATAAGTGCACTACTTCTTGAAAGAGGATCCTTTGGGGGACTGAGATTCAGATCTGGCTGACAGGGTTAAGAAATACGATGCAAGGAGAGTTGCAGGCAAGAGACTTCGACAGACCCTAGCCAGCCGGAGATTCCAACCAAATGTTTTTCGGAACACCTCCCATGTTGTTGATGTTCGCAATTCTGTGCTATCCATGGTTATTGAGAGCATGTCATCATTTCTACAGCTTCGGGCTTAGAGTACTGCACATGATGCAGGGTTTTTGACAACCATCAGTGTTACAAACGCCTTGTAAGACCTATTCACTTGTTAAGAACGAGCTACGGCAGCCGTTGTGCAACCATATGAAGCTTTTTAGAACCCTATGATAGACTAGACAACCCAAGAACCTTGCACGCGAAGCATAAACCAACCCAAACCCGAAGCCCCAAAATCCCTGTAAGCTCGAAAAGCTTTAAACTCAAGCTCAACCTTAAGCTCAAGAGCCCAAGAGGCCCAAGGGCCCAGTAGAAGTCTCCAAGGCTGTGTCGGGCCTGGAAGCCATGGCACCTTGGGCGATGGAGAGGGGGGGGTGGGCTGGGTTAGGGCTTTCGGGGATTCGGGGTTCAGGGTTTCAGGACTTTTGGGTTTAGGGTTTATAGGAAGTGGGAAGGGCTTGGATGCATCAGTTTTGAGCGAACCGTTTTGACCGAGGCTTTTTCCTTCAGAACCCCATGGACAAAAATCGTTGTTGGGAGGTGATGGCGCTGTTTCCAGGCAACCAAGCCTGTCAGCCACGATTTGGGTGTGGTGCTGGCGCCATTTTGAAGCAACCAAACCTAGGATTGATGTAAAGTCGTTGTTGGAAAGTGCTGGCGCCATTTTGGAGCAACCGATCCTGTCAGCCAGGACTGGGGTACTGTCGTTGTTGGGAGGTGAAACAACCAAACCTGTCAACCAGGATTGGGGTAAAGTCGTTCATGGAAGGGGTGCTGAGCCATGTTGCAGAAATCAAACCTTGTCAACCAGGATTGGGGGTAAAGTCGTTCATGGGAGGCACTGGCACTACTTAGAGCAACCGATCCTGTCAGCCAGGATTGGGGTAATGTCGTGAAACAACCAAACCTGTCAACCAGGATGGGGTAAAGTCTTCATGGGAGGTGCTGGAGCCATGTTGCAGCTATCAAACCTATCAGCCAGAATTGGGGTGTGGTCGTTGTTGGGAGGTGACACAACCAAACCTGTCAACCAGGATTGGGGTAAAGTCGTGCATGGGAGGCGCTGGCACTATTTAGAGCAACCAAACCTATCAGCCAGGATTGGGGTAATGTCGTTGTTGGGAGGTGAAACAACCAAACCTGTCAACCAGGATTGGGGTAAAGTCGTTCATGGGAGGTGCTGGAGCAATGAAACGTATCAGCCAGGATTGGGGTGTGGTCGTTGTTAGGAGGTGAAACGACCAAACCTGTCAACCAGGATTGGGGTAAAGTCGTTCATGGGAGGCGCTGGCACTACTTAGAGCAACCGATCCTGTCAGCCAGGATTGGGGTAATGTCGTGAAACAACCAAACCTGTCAACCAGGATTGGGGTAAAGTCGTTCTTGGGAGGTGCTGGCACGATTTAGTGCAACCAAACCTATCAGCCAGGATTGGGGTGTGGTCGTTGTTGGGAGGTGACACAACCAAACCTGTCAGCCAGGATTGGGGTAAAGTCGTGCATGAGGCGCTGGCACTATTTAGAGCAACCAAACCTATCAGCCAGGATCGGGGTAATGTCGTTGTTGGGAGGTGAAACAATCAAACCTGTCAACCAGGATTGGGGTAAAGTCGTTCATGGGAGGTGCTGGAGCCATGTTGCAGCAATCAAGCCTTTCAGCCAGGATTTGGGTGTGGTCGTTGTTGGGAGGTGAAACAAACAAACGTGTCAACCAGGATTGGGGGTAAAGTCGTTCATGGGGGGTGCTGGCACTATTTCGAGCAATCAAACCTATCAGCCAGGATTCGGGGTAATGTAGTTTTTTTGTGAGGTGCGGGCGCCACGTTGAAGGAACCGAACTTGTCGGCCGATATTGGGGTTAAATTCGTTGTTGGGGGAGGTGTTGGCGCCATGTTACAATGTTGAAAATTGTTGTGGGTGGGAGGGCTGGTGCCATGTTGAAGCAACCAAACTTTTGAGCTAGGATAGGGGCAAAATTGTTGCTGTGAGGTGTTGGCGCCATGTTGAAGCAGCCAAACCTGTCGGCCAGGATTGGGGTAACATCTTGTTGGGAGTTAGCGCGGTAGTGACGCAGCCAAGCCTGTCGGCTTGGATTGGGGGAAAGTCGTCGTTGGGAAATAATTGCGCCGTTTTGAAGCCACCAGGCAGCCAGACCTGTCGGCCAGGATTGGGGCGTGGTTGGCAGGTGCTGGCGCCACTTTGAAGAATCCAAACCTGTCAGCCAGGATTGGGAAAAGTCATGGTTGGGGGCCGTTTTGAAGCAACCGAACCTGTCAGCCAGGATTGGGGTAAAGTCGTTGTTGGGAGGTGCTGTGCTGGCTCCATTTTGAAGCAACCATACATGTCAGCCAGGATTGGCGTAAAATCGTGTTTGCAGGTGTTGGCGCCATTTTGACACAACCAGATCTGTCAACCAGGATCGGGGCAAAGCCGTTGTTGGGAGTTGCTGGTACCATTCTGAAGCAACCGAACCTGTCAGCGACGATTGCGGTAAAGGCCATCCTTTTTCCGCAGGGGCCGGCAAACCACATCCATCTTCCAACATTCATTTTACAGCCATGTTACGATGCGAAACGGAAGAAAAATGGATGTCGGGTGGGGGTCCGAAAATGGATGTTCTTTTCCGGTCCCCCTCGGAAATGGATGTAAACTAGACGTGGGAGTCAAGCCTCCCCGCAAAATGGATGTAAAACGGCTGTTGGGATGCACGCCTCCCTGCAGGATGGAGACGCGAATCGATTTTGGTGGGGTCGGGTGGGCGTTAATGGATGGGCCTCATAATCTCAGAACTTGTTTCGACGAGTGGAGCAGGGGGTTTTGAGTTTTCTGTGTGCAGCGACCCAGGAAGAGGATCAGCCTCTGTCACGAACTCCGAATTGCGGATGATGGTGTTGCTTTTGGTGAAAATCCTCGCGCAGCATCGTTGGATGGGTTGCAGCTTCTGTCACTTCCCGAAGACCTCCCGTAGAACATCCTACAACGTTGACCTCACAAACCCCAAACAAACCACAATAAACCAAACCGGCCACCAAGCCGAAATCCTAGATCACGAGAAGCCCCAAAACATCCCCCATCGTGACCATTCCACAGCTTCAAAACAGCAGTATAATACTGCTCCAGTCAACCGCAAGCCCCAAAGCCCAGGCTCAATCGGCGAATGACCGCGCTCTGTGCCTTGAGCAGAAGTGGATTTAAAGCTGAGTTCTTCTGGAGTTTGAAGGTCCCTGGCCCTTGGTTGTTTAGAGGCTTGGGCTTTGCAGTTTGGGATCTTTAGCTTGGGCAAGTTCCACGCGCACGCGCAGCGCTGAAGCAGCTTGGTCGCGGTCCTCGTCTTGTGCAGACACCATAAGGTACCACCACCACAGTCGACTCAGTTGACTGCGACAGTGTACGAAGTGTATTGGTATCATAGTTCTTGCTAGTATTATTACATATTGCTACGGATATCATTACAGTTCTGCCTCTTCTTACTATTGTCGTTACTCAGTTCTTCTGAAGAGGACATCTTTACCACAACTTACTAAAAAAACCGCCCCGTCTCCTCTTTTGTAATCGTGCGGAGGCCTTTCCCTGCCCCGCCAGGGCTCGAGGCAGAGGCCGCGGTTGCGGAACTTCAGAGCGGTTTTTGGGGTTTGTCTAAACTTTAGACGTCTCCTTGAGCCTCAAAAGCCTTATAAGCCCTTATGCCTCAAGACCATCTATAGACAAGCTTGCCATCACTCTCTGAGCTGATGAATAGCCCCTGAAGCCCAAAACCCTTGTTCACCGGACTCGAAGCCTCGAAGCCGTGAAGTCCCAAATTCCCGGAATCCGGTGGAGGCCCCGGCTTTGAGCTCCACTCACCAGGCTGGGATGGGGGCCTCAAGCCGAAGGGAGGGAGTTCAGGTTCATGGCTTGGGGTTGTGGTTTGGTAGACCGAGGTTGAGGGTTCAGGGCCTGGGAGTTTGGAGGTTTAGATGTAGTGGTTTGGGGCTCAGGGTTTGGCCGGGAAGCTTGGGCCTGCAAACGAACGCCATGGCTACCCGCAGGGCTGCAATCGCTGAGGATTCATAGAACAGGCATCGTATTTCGAACAAAACGCCTTCATGACCACACATTCATGCAACAGAACACATGAACACGGTGTGTGGGGGTGGGGTTTAGGGCTTAGGGGGTGTGAAGTTTGAGGAGCAGGTCGAAAAGGCCAGGAGTTCGAGTGCAGCCAGCTTTCACAACTTAAGGCTCGAAAGGCGCAGCCCAAAACTCCCATCTCAACGCGACATGCAACATGGATGCTGAACCTCGTGTCCAATACCTGCAGGACCGACCATTCTGTGTCTATGAAGGTGGAGAGCACTTGAGCTGTGCCCAACGCGTAGACAGTGGATCCTACATCTGGGAAATCGGAGGCATTTCGTGGATCACTGGGGTCCTCCAGCGAGAGCAGCAGAGCCTGCTGCGCTCTGACTATTTTACAATAGGCCATGCAAGCTTTTATGTGATATACAACCCGTTGGCGGGCAAGCTGTGGCGTCGGCATCACGGGTCCCTGGCTTTAGTGTGCAATCGCGGCAATTGTAGCGTCTTTCGCTGCAGTTTCTCGGTCAAGGCATTGGATGGGTCATATGCTCAGTGGGGTGAAACCCGCCAAGAGCAATTTCGCCGTGGTTTTGTGTATGGTCCACACAACACACTTGGTGCAGACGCTGGTTCGAAGCAGTAAAGAGGCACCGATTTCTCAAACTCTCGCCACTATGGCTTCACAGGCTGGTTAGGACTTTGCTACCCTTACCGTACCCTTGTCGCTTTAGCGGGTTCAGCCAAAAACTTCGATATGCTCATCTTGCATCCACATTTAGGATGCTCAAAGAAGCATGTTGAAGCAAGCACTTTAAGAGCTCGCTGTCACGAGAGTGTGTTCGCTGTCTCGAGAGTGTTAAACAGACTCGCACCTCTAGCCCCAGGCCTGTTGCCCAGGATCTCCTGGAAGTCTGTTCGCCTCAGGCGCGGTGTGGATTCTATCATCCCGAGAGAAACGGAGAGGGAGTCACCCTCCTTCCATCCCCTTGCTCCTCCATTTGAGTCTCTCCGCATGCTTTCACGACATAGTTGCTTTCGCGGACCTTGTGCGTCAAATGCTTATCAGGCAATCGCCAACACATCTGTAAGTCTGCTGGTTGTCCAGTATGGAGATCCATCTGGCACTTCTTCCCTGGATTCACTCCAAGCTTGCCTGTATGGAAGCAGCAGTCTGGGCAAATGCTTATGTCCATCTCTTCTCCTCAACTGTGGGCCGCATTCATCCTCACATGCTGCAAACCCCGTATGGTGCCGGTAGCGGTCTTTGAACTTCTGTGCTTCAGCCATGGCTGTAGCAGGGTCGCTGCATCGCATCTTGATGCGTCTCAGCTGCCCTTTCGGCCATGAAGCGTGCACAGATGGGTGATGCGAAGATGAACATAGCAAAGGTGTCCACTGGTTTGTAGGCTTCGTGTGGAGTCTGTATTCTAAGACGCCTGCCTTCCTCCACGCTGGGCCCTTGAAAAGCACTACATTAAGCATCGAGATCGATTGTTGGCTCACTTCATCAAAATGGATAGCGAAAGGTGTGGCCTTCTCTCGGAAAAGCCTCTCGAAACTCCGGCTCTGATCACGAGAGCCAGATGTGATGATCAATCCATCATCTTTGAATCTGGCATAAAAGATGATCCCGAACTGGCTCTGGGTCATATGGTCTGCCGCGAAGTTGCTTTCAGCTAAATGACAAAACGCGCAGTCACTCAGCACTCCACTGCAGGCGAGTCCCATGCCGGATCCTATACGGACGTCATAGAGGAGGTCATGGAAACCGTCTGTTACTATCTGCGATTTGAGTATGTGCTCCACCAGTAGCTGTACATATCGCAGAGTGTGTCCCAGACATGAAAAACTCCTTGACATCAAAACGGAAAAGCCAAGCCTCTGGAGGAACTTGTACCTGGCGAAGGACATCAAGAAGGTGATCTGTGTCCTTGAGTATGTGGGTATACTGAGCCAAGTGGGTTTTGAGGAGGGAGGAAATCCACTTCATACCCGGCTTCATGAAATGATCCGGGGCAGCGTGTACCAGCCTCATCTTCTGTTCTCCTTCAGGCTTGTGGGTCTTGACTGTTGTCAAGATCTTGGTAACCAAACTTCTGCACCCACTCCTCAACGAAAATAGGAGTGAATTTTCGAGATCTGCGTCCTCTGGTACTTGACTATGTAGGTGTAGTCCTGAGCGATATCCTCAAATATTGCTTCATGAACAAATCTTTCACCGTAGACGGGCAAAGATAAGGAATCAAGGACCGCCTTCGCAAGAGACTGCTTCCAGACGAGAGCATATCCCCCATCCTTGTCTGTACGCACAGCTCCTACCGGGCCCTCGCGCAGCATTTGGATTCCCCATTTGGCTACTCTGCTGAGGTTCGAAGTGCAAGACTGAGAAAACTTCAAACTGCTTCGCTTCCCATAGGCCGTGGTGAAGACTCCTCTCTTCAATTCATAGATGAAAACTTCCCATTCATCAGCCAGCTTGTGAGGGCATGGTGGTGTGCATCTACGGCTTCGCAGCTTCCACCACACCGATCGTTCCTGGCTGTCCCCCTCGGATTCAGAATGGAATAGCCTCCATCTCAACTTGTTCTCCCATTGGGAGATGGCACGGCTCAGTTCTGACATCGGCGGCAGTCTCATAGATTGAAAAATATGCTTCGGATGTAAACGTAAAACGAATTCCATAGGCCATGGCACCTGGCCTTTCTCCAGAATTGAAGCGCACTTGTATTCAGGAACATAGAAGTAGGCACCCGGGTGGCCCTTTCCACAATCCATCAGAATCTTCAACTCGGGAGGGGTCATGCTGCGGGTGAGGTCAAGGAACCGCCTCACCATTTCTTCTTCCATCCAGCTTTGCCTTTTCCTTTCCTTTCTTTGCCTTTTCCAGGCTTGCCTCCTTTGCCTTTTCCTTTCTTTGCGTGGTGCAAAGCAGGCATACCCTAAAAAAGACTTCGATGGTCGGCGTAGTGAATGGACATCCATCTATGCTTGAACCCCAATCCATTGTCATTGCCTCCAGGCGCGCGTGCAAGACTCTGGATCTCGTGTCTTCATGCTTAAGGATTGTGGCCTGGCCCCCGACTTTCCTGGCGAGCACCCGCAGATGTAGATCTTGGCAGCGAGGCACGACGAAACTGGCTGTAGTTCCAGCAGGACTGTTGGCTTCACCACGCAGCTTGTGAGTTCCCAAGCTGCGCTGCAGCCGCATTGCCACGCCAGTAAAAGGTGAGCCTAGGATCAAGATGCTGGAGCATTCCCAGTTTGGGCCCAGTAGTTGGATCTTTGGTCTGTTTCGGTCGGAACTTTAAATTCAAATTCAGCTGGTGAAGCAAAGGGCTGACTAAGCTGCAAAGGTGTGTTTGTCCAAGCTTGGGTCAGCTGGTCATCCAGAGAGGTCGACGCGCTAGATTTTTGTAGACTTGGGTTGTGGGGGCAATAAGGGTTTAAGTTCTGCTTCAGGGATTCAGGTTGTGGTTGAGGCATGGTGAAAGGTCGTTCGAGGGCTTTGATGGGTCTTCGGGTGTTCGTGTTGAGGCTTCGGCGGTCGAAGTTTTGGGGCCTTGGGCATCGGGAGGTCCCACGAGGGGTTTTAGCTTTGGCTGCAGGGTTCTTGCTTAGAATCGATCCTGCAGCCTCGAACCCTGAAGCCCCAAAAACTCAGCAGTCAGAAAAGCTTAAACCTAAAGCCGTAGCCTCAAGAACACATACGCCCTACACGATGCCTTTGAAGAACACGGAAAATTCGTGCGCCCAGGCTGTGTGCCAAGCAGTGCTCCAGGATGTCGAAGCCAAGGCTGCAGCACCGAGCTATCTATACGGTCTGTATACATGGTATGTCAATCATTGTACGTGTGTGTATCTATTTCGGGATGCAGGGATAGCTTAGGCTGGACATGGAAAACAAAAGCTAAGTTTCGCGGCTTAGCAAAGGGTCACCTTCTCTGTAGGTCAATGAGAAGATGGAGGAAGTGTGGCAGAAGGGGCGGCAAATGCTGACCCAGGCCTGGTCTTTTCCCTTCACTGTGGGTGGAGGAATTGTGTTTTCAGCTTGAGGATTTCGGGCTTCGGTTTCGTGCAAGGGGTTAGGTTACGGCTTTAGGTTTTGTGGTTGAGAGCTTAGGATGGAAATGGTGTCGTTTGAGAGTTCAGAGGGTTTCCGATGTTTGGGCATAGCAGAGAGTTTCAGGGTGATGTGGGGTTAAAGGTTCGCTCATGGGTTTTACGGTGCAGGGGTTTAGAGATGTGCAGCGATGAGCGTTCGTTGTGGGTATTGCAGGGTCGCCGGCCGGACTGGGGCTTGGCCGGGTGCCCTGGGGGCCTGGTCCTGAAACGTACTGAGATCCCAACTCTACAGGCCCCCACTCACCAAGAAAGCTTCCAACCCCTCAAACATCCTAAACCATGCACCAGCCCTGGTGCAGCTCGCAGAGATTTGGGCATTTAGGGCTCTTGGTGGCCACCCGCTCCTATGCAACACCACGGTCTTATTGTGGCGCTTGCGGGCGCAAGCGGGTTCTCTGAATAAGTCTTGCGGCCGTTTCGTTTTTGGGTTCCATCGGGCAGGTGCAGCAGAAGCAGCAGGAGAAGACGGACCAGCTGGTAGCCGAGCTTCGTCAGTGGGGCCCTCGGTCCTCGGGATCGGAGGGTTTAGGAGTCTAGGACGCAAGTCACAAGATTCGGGGGTGTGGCGGGAGCAAGAAGGGTGCTGAGAGACGTGGCAGTGCGCGAGAGGGAAGTTTCGAATAGTTAGACTTGCAATCCCATGTCCCTGACATATGTAGCATACTACAGAGCCGAAGCAGTGTGAGGATCGCGGACCTTCCTCTAAACTTGTGTCAGCATCCAGCCCGAACCATGAGCTCCCTGATTCCCTTATCGAAATCCTAACCTCTCAGCTCGAAAAACATTCTTCCCGAGAGGATGAACTGAGGGTTTAATCCAGGTTGCAGGAGCGCCAGGAAGCCCTGCAGACGGAGCACGAGTCCCTGAAGCAGGCGGTGCAACCCAAAGAACATCCGAGTGGAGCCGGTTTGAGTGAGTGGGGGCTGAGGGTTTCAACGTATACGGCCATCTAGCAGCGCCAAGCTTTTTTGCATCGTTTCGGGACTGAGGCGTTTCCGATTTGCGGCCGGTGCCTTTTTGAGGCGCAATTAACAAAAGGAAACCCAAAAGCAACCCTGCGAGGAATCCCCACACCGCGAACGTCTGTGAGAGCCCTAAACGGAACCCATAAAGCCTTCAAAGCAAACCCCCCGAGCCCTGAGATGCTGGTGCTCGCAGCTTCGCAGCTGGCACTCCTGGGAGCGGGGGTCGGAGACGCCAAGGCCATGCGAGGTGCCGGCGCCTGGGTTCGTCAGGGGCTTCCATTATGCTTCAGGGCCACTATATATGCATATGTTGGGACGGTTGGGGTCTAGGGTTTAGGGTTTAAGGATCTTCAGTTTGAGTTTGGCTTCAGGTTTGAAGGTTTCGGGGTTCTAGGTTTAGGGGTTCGAGCTTGCTTGCTCTCTCTCTCTCTCTCTCTCTCTCTCTCTCTCTCTCTCTCTCTCTCTCTCTCTCTCTCTCTCTGTCTCTCTCTCTCTCTCTGTGTCTCGGTTTTGGAGGGTTCAAGGTTTAAGGTCACGGTTTCTCACGGTGTATGGTTTAGGTCTAAGTTTGGGTTTGGCGGTTCGGGCTCTGTCCCTCCGGGATTAGGGTTTAGGGTCTCTGTTCGTGCGGTTCCAGCATCAATGTATGCCGCAAGACAGGCTTGACATTGATATGTGCACGTGCAAGTAATTCCTGCTTGATGTGTTTGCCCCATACTTGATGGCGATGATGCTGATGCTAATGCCAATGCTGATGCTGATGCTGCTGGTGAGTCTGGTGACGATGATGTTCTTTTTGTCCTCAGAGCTGTGAGTGATCAGAATGGCGATCGCGATCACGAGTATGGGTGTGTGCAAGAACGGAATCAGGAACTGTAAAGTCGGGCTGCCAGTTTCTGTGGAATCGGTAGTTTGGCTTGTAGAAAGTAGCATTCTTGGCCCAACCTGCAACTCTGCATGCGAGACCCTAAACCGTAGGCTCTACTGTGCCCTTGTCTGTTTCGCAGTTCTTTGCCAAGCAGACCTAAATCCGAGCTTCGATCCTTATGGCATTCGGGCCATCCTCACGAACTCAATTTCCCTCAACCCCAGACCCTGGACCCTCCAAAGGCTCTTGCCAGATAGACCAGTAACACTTTAAGTAGCCAGCATGACCCAACCTCCGCACGAAGAAAAGCCTGAAATCGACTCTGCAAGCACAGGTCTTTCCCCGACCACCGCGGGGACGGACTCCGTTCACTCGATTACACCCCAGAGGTGCGGGAGTGCCTTTGAGCTTCAGACGAGGGACTACGTGGGAAGCTCTCTTGGTGTCTTACGCTTGTAAGAAGGATGCTCAAGGGGAGCCGAAATTAGGGAACCGCGCAACTTCGCCTAAACCTGGGACCCGAAGCCCTACAAGACATTGAGATTTGATGCTGGGTCCAGGTGGGGAGGGTTTTTTGGGGTCACAGTTTCGGAGTTCATGTTTCGTGGACGATGCAACCCTGCGACCCCATGCTCAAAGCCCCAAACCTGAAGGCTAGAGCTCCAAATTCCTTTGCAACCCCCCCCCCTCCCCCCCCAAAAGCTCTAAATCCCCCACTGCCCTTTGCTCCAGGTCTGATCTGAACACCGCAGGGACAGAGGTGGAACCCCGAAACTTTCGCGGGCTGTTGGGGTTGCAGGTTTGGGGAGCTGGGGTTTTGCGGTCTAGGGCTTGAGGGCTTAGAACGGCCCTGGAACTGAGAATCATTGACTACCATTGTACATTCCGGATGATCCCAGATGCCGGAAAACCGTGCCGTTGTTGCGGTTTTGGATTCCTTAGCGGGATGTCCCAATGATAGCGAGCTTCTGAGTGTAGAGTTGCAAAGACGAGTCCTCGGAACCTCCTCACATGCCCGTAGTAGCCTACATCGTGGCCTTGCGAGATATACTTGGAGGTTCATGGGAAGGTACGGGGAGGGTCGTAAGTGCCACAAGTTGGTGTTTCAGGGAGTTGGACCTACATTTACCTTACCTGTAAAAGCACTGCTTCCAGTATTCAGGAGATGAGAAAGTAAGTTAGTAGCTACAGCTACACCGAAAACCACCTGTAGTTGCAAAGCACACCCCGATAGTGGAGTTTAAACCCAGAACGCCGGATTCCGAAGCGAAGTCGCACAACTAACCTCAGAACGCTTCTACTGCGCATATGAAACCCTTCAAAGCTTTTCCAATGAAGTTATTCCTGCCAACCTGTCGAGTAGCATGATGCTAAAATGGAATCGCCCCAAAGCCTCAAAGCCCTGAACCCTAAACCCCCCTTGCTTCAGCAGCTTCGGCTGTAAATCACAGAGCCGCTTCTTGCCGGCTCGTATTCTGAAGCCCGTTCTGCAGCGGCCCGATCTGCCAGCAAAGGTGTCCCTCCTCAACAAAAACCCCTTACCAAAACCGCTACAGAAAAGACAAAGCCTATGAAGGCCCTTATAGGTCAAAGTCCAAAGCCATCCTTGGGAAGGCAAGCTACTCTCCGCTTCCGCAGGCCATTTTCCGATTTTTTGGGGTAGACTGTCCGGTGAATTTTCGGTGAGATAAGCAACCTGGACATGCCGAGCGAGCTAGCTGATCAGATCATGCATGAAGGAGTGTTTCAAGGAGTTTATCCATTGAAGCCGGCTCCGGTTTGGGGTGTAGATGTGGTGCAATCTCGAAGTTATAGGATTTATGGATGCGAGTTTGATGTGCCGGGTTTGGAACGCCAGACCCCTGTCAAGTCCTGCCAGGACCTCTTTTATGTGCAACTGGGGCGCCAAACCCCAAACACATAGATCTCCAATGTTGCCCCAAAGACCCGAAAGCCCGTGGTCAGACCCCCAACCTCCTCTATTCGCAGGATTTCCGGGGGTCTGCCACGGAACCTTGCACTTCCAAGACCCCTTCCAAAATACCCTCCGTCTTCAAGCCTTTTGCTGCATCCTGGGCTCAAAGCTGGAATCCCACTGAGTCCTTTGGCACTAAATCCTGGAGTCCTAAAAACAAAGCCCGAAGCCCGTGAGCCGCTGCCAGATCCCGGCTTGCCCCTTCGCGCGTGCCTCCCAGCTCGCCTTCTCGGGGGGTTCAGAAGAGAATCGAGTGCACCGCTGGAGAAGCCTGCAAAGAGCTGACATGATCCAGAAAAGACCGCACCCTAAATCCTGCCCTTTTCTCCTGAGGTCCGCCGGGGGAGCGCCGCTGTCTCTGGCAGAGGCGTGTTGGCAGTTTGCCCGCCCCACTTCTCAAGCGTTTCGTGGTTTGGGGTTCACGCCACGATCCCGAAAGGCTTCACAGGACTTCTGGGTTTCGGATGAGGCTTCCTGAGTGGGTTTGGGTTTATCACTCCGCAATCAGCACCGTGCAATACAGTCATGCTTGTTCCGTGTTTGGAAGGACGAAGCAAGCACATGTCCGACAATGTACGTTCCCAAGGACCAGCGGCCTAAACCCAGAAGCTTAAAGCGAAAGTGTACTTCTCACTGGCCCCGTCTCTTTGACACCCATCCGAAGGATCCACCTTGCTGTTCAAGTCATGCTACTTACGGGCTCCCGATCAGGAACCTCCGCGTGCACCGCCACATGCTCGCGAGCCCTGTCTTAAAGCCTTAACGCTAACCTCCGAGCCGCTGAACTCTAAGCGCTGCGTTGTGCTGAACAATAGAGGCCCTGAGCAGTTCGCAGTCGGCGCCCGGGGCCAAGACCACAGGCTGCCGTTCTCTAACAAAGGGGCCTTAATATGTGTGTGTGTATATATATATATGTGTGTGTGCATATATGTATATATATATATATACATACTTACATATATATATATATATGTATATACATACGTAGCGGCATGGTGTACCGAATCGTAAAGTGATGAAAGTTTGCTCGTCTACTTATAGTTTGTTGGACTTGTCCTGCGAGCCTGTCTGGCTGCCAAAGTCTAGGGCTTAAAGTCGACAGTATAATGCTCCTGAGCCGCGCACAGCGAGCAGTGTACCAAAAACACCCTCAACCCCTAAACCTTACATACCGTTACTCGATGACTTGCAGAGGTCATCGCCGGCTCCGCTGTCCCTTGCAACATCCCTGTCTGTGAATGAGGCCAGGCCGTTTGCAGATATCCATACGGTTGACGGTATAAGTGTTGCATTACCTTAAGGACCCTAAACTATGGGAATTATGGTATATTCCTTATTATGGGCAATGCAGGGTTTGCATCATCAACCGTATCTGTGTAGTTCTCTATATGAAGGTCCCCTCTCGGCCTAGGGCTGGTGGTACTGGGCAATTCTATGGAGTTGGGCACCTGCAAAGCTCTTCTTCAGGGATCTTTCTAATGAGGATCTTGTTGTTTCTACCCGATTGAAGGATTCCCGAACGAGGCCTTGCGGGAGTCTTGGGGGAGCATACTGGCCCCTTACAACGAGTCTACGAGAAACGCGCGATCAAACTCAATCTACTTGTTCTCCCACAAAAATCCGGAACCCCTAACAAGGCCCTACTCCCCAAGCCCTTAGCCCTAAACCCTGCAACCCCTTAAGCCCAGCTAGACCCTCCAAACCCTCTTTGCCAGCTTCGTCCGGAGGCAGCTTCCGGCTATGGCAGCAGCGTGCAACAGGCCCTAGGGGTGAGGGTTTAGGGTTTAGGGTCCCCTTAGATTCGGAGTCCTTGTGGCTTGGGGGTTGGCTCCAGGGGTTCGGTCTCTACTATTTTATTATTGAAGCTACGGTAGAGCGAATCTCCGCAAGGCTGTTGCTTTCGGTGCCAAACCTGCTCTTCTGGCACATGAGGTTGAACATGTTTGGATTTTCATTTTGGAGTCATAGTCCTGCTCTGTTTTGGGGTTGTCCTGGTTGTTCCTGTGACCTTATTGATGTCGACTTAGGTCATTTAGCGCGGAGTCATGGAGCCCACGGACATGTGCGCGGGTTGGTGCTTTACCTTCTGTCATGAAGACAAGAACAGCCTAGTAGCACATATACCTGAGATCGTCGACCCTGAGCCCGACCATCCTCAAAACCCACGTCCCTCGCACGTTTCAGGTACTCGGTAGCAGTGGCATTCCACGCGCAACCTTATTCTGGGCCCGATGACGAGCTGCCTACCTCCCTAAGGCCCTTGGCCTAAACCCTGAGCTCCTTAAATCCTCAGCCTCCTAAGGTCCTAGCTCTTGACCCAAAGCTGCCTGCTTGAGGGCTCGATGCTTATCTCCTAGAGCTGGGCAGGTCTTCTCAATCACCCTGCGCAAAGCAGATGACACCGCGGCTTTGCTCTAAATATTGGGTGCTACCGAGGATGTTAGGCGGTTGAAGTCTAGGTTGCAGAGTGCAAGATTCAGGGGTTTACAATGTGGAGGCAGGTTGAGGGCTTTTCAAGACGCAAGGCGTCACTGCAAAGGGGATTCCGGGAGAGAAGTTGTCCGACTCTTCAACCCGGGCTTCAGGGTCTGCACTGTTACAGCTTGTTCGGTCAAAGGCTTCAAGGAAATTTAGGGTTTCTGGCCTAGGGTTTACGGTTTAGGGTTTAGACGGGAGCCGTGGTGCATTGTATGTGTTCTTCATGTAAACCTCAAGTTGCAGAAACACCGTATAGAACATTTAAGAGAAGTTTCAGATTCCTTGAGGAAAAAGAAGTTTTGGTCAACCTTGACATCGTATCTACCAGGCTGAGTACGAAGGGTTATCAGTACCGCGACGCGACTGAGGTTGTTGCAAATTTGGTATCGAAGGCTTACTCTCAGCCCAAGCTGTACGGCTTCCACGTTTCACAAGTGCTCAGTCGCGACAGTGCTCAACAGCGAAGTTGCGATGCGCTACGGGGGCCGGCATGGTCGTGATGCCTCGTTTTGGCTTGGAAAGCCTTCAGCCTACGACGTGCCTATCCCCTTACCTGTTTTATGCGCTTCTTCAGCGCCTTTGTTCGTTCAATGCCATTTTGCCCTTGTGTTTCCTTGCGTGCTGCATGGGGCCTTTATGCTCTTCATTTTCATTCGAGAGGTGGTGCGTTTGTTCTCAATCCGCGTGCAGGCTCAACAATTTCCAACCTTCTTTTCCAGCTCAAGGGAGATTTGGCCGTCGACCGCTTCCGTTGCCGCTTTCAAGCCCAAACCTGGCAAGAATCCCAGAAGTGAGAGCCTCCCATGCTGTATCCGGCCATGCGAACGCCTGCAACTCATCAAAAACGTTTTCGGCCATTTCCCGCCGTGAGTACGTTGCAGACCATACAAGCCCCAAACCTTGAACCCTTGAATCCACCGCCTTCCCTTTTTTCAGTTAAACCCTAAGCCCCCCTTTGCAGCTTTCTCGCCGAGCTCAGGAGCTGGGCTTGAACGTGAGGCCAGTGGAGAAGGCGCTGTGGAGCGTGGGCTTCTTCCCCAAGCAGGGGCTTTCCTTCAAATCGCAGGAAGGAAAGATCTCAATAAGGTATTCGGTACACCGTTTTTGTGTCTCAGGGCTTTTGGGTTTGATGAGAAGAGCAGTGGCTTTAAGTTTCACACCGCCGATTTTTGCAGTGTTTGCCTGGTGTCTGTGGACCTGGTTTTCGTCTTTCATCATACGCGCTGACGAAAAGTTATCCTCTCAAGCAACCGCCGAACCTTCACCCTGACGCCGCAAGCGCAAGAGCCGAATATGATTCCTGTTTGGTTCTAGTTTAGGGTTTAGGGTGTAGGCTAGTATGATTCCCATTTTAGGGTGGGTTGTCAACGCAACGCCTACCTCTCGTTCGCCTTCTCTCTGGCTCTGCATGTGCGTATATGAGTACTTCTCTAAATGAGGGGGATCCTTTCTTTAAGGGGGTTCCTAACAAGGGCACTGTATACCTTTGTATATGCATCCCGTGCACATTCAGATTTGCCATATATGGCGTGATATCTTTCTTTGAAAGGTAGACTGCAGGCTGAGATCGGTCAAAGCCTCTAGCGTACTTTCAGGCCCTACGCCGTAGAGCGTCAAGCCCGACTCACTTGTCCAGATGCACGCATCCAAGGTTTCCATGGGCTACTGACTACTGCCGAATCAATGCCTTTCCTGAGCTCGAAGCCGTGCTGTAAGTCTTTGCATTGGCATCGAAGGTAATCGAAGGTGTAGGGTGTGTTGCATTAAAGCACCCTTAAGCAATCTGAACCGCAAAGCATAACAATAAATCTTGCCTAGATCTCAAGCCCCATACCGAAAGCCTGAACGCGATAGGCGCTTCTGGTGGAGGGGATCCTCCCTGACGGCGCCGTCGAAGCCTTCAACAGGCCGTGCTGGGATTTCGGATGCGTTTAGGAGGGCCTTGGAGGGATTTCAGGCGAGGTTTTGAAGCGTTGTGTACAAAGTGTTATGTGCTGCCCTTAGCCTCAGCCATCACGATGCCCTCCCGGCAACCACAGAGAGCGGACACCGTTTTGCCCAGTCTGTGGATGCCAGAGCACAAAACTCTGAAGCCGCTTTTCCCCACTACCGCAAGGATCCACAATGATGTCTTTAGCAGTTAAACAGATTGAATTTTAAACGCCACATTCAAGCAACCCCATCAAACGTTCCAAACCCGAAGCATCCGAGATCCTCGGAGCCCGAGGAAGCCTGTGAACATCCCGTGGACCCCTCCGAAGGGCTCAGGAGACCCCACACACCCATACCCCGGCACGAAAGGCTTCGACAGCGAACCCTAGATTTCTTGCTGCCCGACTCAGAATGCAAGTTTGTTGCCCTTGGCAGGCAATGCGCCGGGCTCTTGGAGATTTCTCAGCTTCAGGGGCGCAGGAAGGTTCGGATCATCGGTGTTACAATGTTGTGTGTGGGGTTTTGGTAGCCTTCTGGGTTGAGACTGTCGCAGGTAGATGGCAGCGGTAGGGGTTTGAAGATTGAGAGTTTGGGGTCTTCGAGTGGAGGAACGAGGCCATTGCGTCGGGCCCCTCTACTGAGCTACTCTCGATTCGGGCCAAGCTGAACTCCACGAAAAAACATGTGAGGCTGTACATCGAAGGGGAACAGCTCCGAACCCCAAGGTATATCCTCAGTGCAGGGCACTTCAGCGAAGCATAATTAAGTGAAACGGTTGCGTAGGCAACACAGAGGCTTCGAGGGGGCACAGGCGACAATCGGCATCGGGTACACGGAACTGACCCGCATGATGGTCACGTGCGGAGTCGTCCACGACGGGCAGAGGAGGAAGCCAGGAGGCACAAAGGCAGGCCTGGCGCAGTGGCCACGAAACGTCGACGTAGGCGGCGGGAAGCAAGTCCCACAGCAGGGCCATGCCAACGGCGCCTGGGGCACTAGAAAGCGCGCCTTTGGCAGCATCAACTCCCAGAACCCTTGTCGAGCCCATGTGGAGGGGCGCCCAAGACAAGGCCCAGATACGACCCTACTTCGCTGAGACCCCGCAGCCGCAGAAGGCGAGCAGTGCAAGTCGCGTCGTCTGCGTGGGCGACAGAATCACCAGTCAGAGCCCCAGGTTGCCGTGGCATCCAGTTTCTTGTTCTGCCCAGGATTGACCGCGGCTTCATGGCCGCATCTGCACGCACTGGAGAGACACATTCCCCAATCATCATATGGACTCAAAGACTCAAAGCCGCTTTGCCGCAAGCCACCCTCGACCGGTTGCACTCGTATCTATCAATGCAGAGGAAAACGGTTTATCCGAAGAAGTGGACGTCACTTCAAAAACACTCAGCGCTGAGGAACCCAGAATTGGCAGTGTCCTACAGTAACAAGCTTATTACATTCCAGCGATCTTGGAGTTTGAGCAAGCAAGGGACTCTCAAGGGCCCCTGAATACACTCTGCTTCTCGTTTCAAGAAGCCCCCCCCGTCCCTAAAGACACGTTTCGCACATGCCCCCGGGAGCCGAAGCCTGGCCCCCGGGCCACGTCGTTTTTTCCGAGGCGTGAACAGCGTGTCCAACGATCCCGAGAAGATGCTCGAAGAGAGCAAAAGCAAGCCCGGAGCCCCAAAAGGGCTTGTGCTTTTGGCCTTTAGGGACGAGAGAGGCAGCTTCCTGAGAAACTGCTGGGGCTCCGGGGCTCCGAGCCCAAGACTGGGCTGGGGGAGTCTTTCGGACCTTCTCTAAGCTCTGTTAGACATCAGCCCCATTCCTTCTTTACTGGGTCTTCTGCTGTATAAACAAGCCGCTTGATTCTACACCCAAAACCCTGCCCCCTCAGCTGACAGGCAGCTGCTCAAGCTGACCTTGGCTCGTGGCGAGGGCCCGCTGCCTGAGGCGGGTGTTAAAGAGTTTCACCGCAGTAAACCCAGAAAGAATTCAGCCCACCCTGGAACATCGGGGCTGAATTTTTGGTCCTGGACAAGCAAGACTGTATGGCTGTATGCACGCTACACATTGGCTTGCGGGCTGCGGTTTAAGGTTTCGCTTTGAAGGTCTGGGATTGCAGTAGCTTCTCCCATGGTTGAAGCTTGAATCGCGTGATCCCGCAATCATGACTCCGAAGGAGTCGGAGTGTTGGGTCTGGGGCCCAGGGCTCAATCGTGTATAAAAAATCCTTCAGCCGGACTCATCCCCTATAGCCTCAACCCACGAAAGTTCAAGAAGCGGATGGGTCCAGGCCAAGACGTCGGGTCCTCAACCGCTTAGAGGGCTTCTTCTTCTATCGGAAGGGCCGCAGGGCTCGAGGTCTGCTCGGGTTTGGAGCGCTTATGAGCTTGCGGCTTTGGGATGTTTGGTTGTGGGGCTGCACGGCTCAAGGGCTTTGGGGTTCTTGAGGGCTTCAGGGGCTTTTGTAGGCATTCAAGCATTTAGGATTGGGTGCAGTCCCGACGGTGAGGAAATTTTGGAGTTTCAGGGTCTGAGCGGCGGCTTCCTCTGCCCCGAAGAGAGGATTCTACAAGTCAGTCGTCCGAAGGCCCTGAGTAGTCGCTTTGTTGGAGCCATCTCGAAAGCTATCTGAATTTGGAGGAACCCTTGTAAGCCTTTTGGAGACCCCGCCTAGTCTCCTTCCTGTACCGAGAAGATGCCATAGGACACGGTACAGCCACTGTCTACCCTTAAGAGGCAGCCACAAGTTACATCAGCTTCTCCACGGCCTTGGCAACTTGAAGTGCAGTCCTCTCGCAGAGCAACTGCACCTGTTCAAAACACTGGAAACCTAATTTGGGGCCCTATACTACTAAGGGTACTATGAGAAACCCCCATTAAGGGATCAGCTTTTCAGACTGAGCTTGACAAGATCTTGCTGCGACCCCCTAAATGAGGTCTAATGCTCCAATATGCCCCAATGAAACCTTTTGGGAAGCCTTTTACAGGACAATCATAATCAATCCCGCAGAACATGCTTCTAAACCCTACGGCCCCGAAGCCCTTAACCCTGAAGCCTTACAGTAGGACCCTGCAGGGCCCGAAGTTCTGACCTACAGCAAGGCTTTGAATTTCTCAACTGTTGAAACCCTCATAGACCCCCCTGTGGCAAGGGTTTTCATAGAACCTTCAGCCCGCCATTTGTAGGACCCCTACATAGCACCAGTCCCTGATAACATGGTTCCTGCTCTAAACCCTAAAATGCACCAAAGTCTCTGCTGAACCCCCAAACTCCCCCCAAACTCCCAGGACACAAGCCCCGAAGCCCTAAACCCCAAACCCAAACTCCCCCCCAAACTCCCCGGAAAAGGGCCTCGAAGCCCTAAACCCAAAACCCAAACTCCCCCCCAAAACTTTCCGGAAAAAGGCCCCGAAACCAAACTCCCCCCAAACTCCCGGAAAAAAGGCCCCGAAGACGCCTCCGCTTGAAAGCGAGGTCTGGCCTTCGGGCGGCGGCCACGGAGTTCGTGCCGAAGACCTCGAGCCAGGCGCCTTCTGGGGTGGATTCCACGGACGATGCCCGGTTTAGGGATTTAGGGTTTAGTTGTTTAGGGTTTAGGGCTAATGGGGATTTAGGGTTTAGGGTTTTTAGGGGCCTAAATAGTTACCTATACTGTTTTGGGAGCTCCTTATTGTACTTACAGGGGCCCCAAAACCCTATACTAATTATTAAGGCCCCTAAAGTACCAGATCCAGAGATGCTAGACTATACACTGGTTATTAAAGGGTGTACTTTAGGGCTTACGGGGTTGCTGTAATGATTCTAATTCTAGGGTGTTCTCTGAAGGTTCTAGGGTTTAGGGTTGGGGGGAGTGACTGTAATGATTCTAGGGTGTACTCTAAGGGCTTCGGGGGTTATGGGGTTTAGGGTTTAGGGTTTGGTGGGTGATTGTAGAGTGTACGCTAAGGGTTTAGGGGATTGTGGGGTTCAGGGTTTAGGGTTGGGGGAGTTACTCTAGTGTGTGTACTCTAAGGGCTTCAGGGGTTTTGTGGTTTAGGCTTTAGGGTTGGGGGGGTTACTGTAATGATTCTAGGGTGTACTCTAAGGGCTTCGGGGGTTTTTGGGTTTAGGGTTTAGGGTCAGGGGGGTTGCTGTGATGATCCTAGGGTGTACTCTAAGGATTTCGGTGGTTTTGGGTTTAGGGTTTAGGGGTTACTATCATGATTCTAGGGTGTACTCTAAGGGCTTCGGGGGGGTTTAGGGTTTAGGGTTTGGTGGGTGATTCTAGGGTGTGCTCTGAGGGTTTCGCGGGTTTTGGGGTTTTGGGTTTAGGGTTTAGGGGGTTGCTGTAATGATTCTAGGGTGTACGCTAACGGCTTCGGGGGTTATGGGGTTCAGGGTTTAAATAGGGTTTGGGGGGTGATTGTAGGGTGTAAGCTACGGGTTTAGGGGGTTGTGGGGTTCAGGGTTTAGGGTTGGGGGGGTTACTGCAATGATTCTAGGGTGTACTCTAAGGGTTTCGGGGGTTTTGGGGTTTCGGGTTTGGGGTTTAGGGGGTTGCTGTAATGATTCTAGGGTGTACGCTAACGGCTTCGGGGGTTTTGCGGTTGAGGGTTTAGGGTCTAGGGGGTTACTGTAATGATTCTAGGGTTTACTCTAAGGGCTTTGGGTGTTTTGGGGTTTAGAGGGTTACTGTAATGATTCTGGGGTGTACTCTAAGGGCTTCGGGGGTTTTGGAGTTTGGGGTCAGGGTTTAGGGGTTACTGTAATGATTCTAGGGTGTACTCTACGGGCTCAGGGGTTTTGGTGTTTTTGGGTTCAGGGTTGAGAGGGTTGCTGCAATGATTCTAGGGTGTACTCTAAGGGCTTCGGGGGTATTGGGGTTCAGGGTTTAGGGGGTTACTGTAGTTGCTGTACTGAATCTAGGGTGGACTCTAAGGGTTTAGGGGGTTTTGGGGTTTAGGGTTTAGGGGGTGACTGTAGTTACTGTAATGATTCTAGGGTGTACTCTAAGGGTTTAGGGGGTTTTTGGCAGGGTTTAGGGGGTGTGTGTAATGATTTTAGAGTGCACTGTAAGGGTTTAGGGGGTTTGGGTGTTTAGAGTTTAGGGTTTAGGCGGTTATTGTAATGATTCTAGGGTGTACTCTACGGGCTTAGGGGGTTGTGGGGGTGTTTAGGGTTTAGGGAGTTGCTGTAATGGTTCTGACCGCAAGGCTTGCTGCAAGGGTGCTGTAGCTTTGTCGGAGCGGGGTGTAGCAGTAGGGTTTTCGGTCAGGCTGAGGGTTTTGAGGGTTCTGGGTCGGGTTGGAGGAAAGAGTTTAGAGTAAGAAAGCTTCTCGAATCACTTAAGTGGTCGTGGGCTACATGCTGATGATACAGGCGCGGTTTGAGGGTGCACTGCGGTTCATTACTGTTTTGCGAAGGGCATGCATTCCCGAGGCCTTAAATAGCCTTAAAGCCAAGCAGCTTGAAAGCGTTACGCTCTAGGAATGTAAATTCTTGTGACAATAGGGGCCCTGCCTACGAGAGGATTCTGGATAAATCCTGACCCGTCAATTTGCCAGGCCGCCGAGACCTCCAGCGAGGTGTGAGAGGGTCAACGTGCCGGCCTCAAACTTCGGAGCTCTAAACCCTAAACCCCTAAAATCCCGAAAGCCCTGAGCCCTAAACTTCTAAACCCTAAACCGGGCCACGAGTTAAAGATCGAACGTGGTTTCACTTCGCCTTTGCCACCTTGTTTTCTTGGTGTCACGAGAAAGTGTGGCTCTTGCCAGGAGGGCCGGTCATGGCAAGAAGGCCGCCTTAAGGCAGCCAGATGCACCCGAACAAAGGCCGTTTCTCAGCTCAAGAAGCAGCACCGCTGACCACGCCTTTTACTGTAAAGATCGCGTGGCCATTGATGCTGACTCGCTTCTTGGCTTTCTGTGCTCTCGCGACTGCTGAAACCTGCCTGAACGGCACGGAGTGCGAGGAGGTGAACTTGCTGAGCTACGCTGCGGAGGAGGAGCGAGGGTTCAGCTAGTGCGAGTGACACCCTGACTCACCAAACTCTCACAAAGTTTGGGTTGAAGTGTTGTCAAATGCCCGTAAAAAAAGATTCAAACTCCTCAAATCAAGTTCGGTCAAGCCAAAACTCCCAACTTGAAGCCAGGCGCGTTCAACGAATAGAGGGGTTTGCATGTATGATGACCCCGAGAATGAGTATGAATCATCACCAGTGATCATGTTGGTGCCTCATCAATTCAAGCGACATACTCAACAGCTCACACGGTTCCCCCTGCTACCCAGCATGAACGACTTTGTTGGGGATGACTTCGGATCCCCCCAAACAGACCCAGCGAGCTCTCCAGGACTTTCCCAGGAGAAAACGAAGGTTTCGACGTCGCCACCACTATGGCTACCGACCCTGCAAGAGTGCTGAGAGGCCGAGCTTGGCTGATGGACCGGTGGCTTGGCCGAGTCGCAGGGCAATTACCCTGAACCCGAATCCCCAAACTTCAAACTCCCCCAACCCCACTACACCTTAAACAAACCCTAAAAACCCAAACCCCTAAACCCCCTAAGCCTGCACCTTTCACGAGGGATGATCCTCTGATTGTTGAGTGGTGGAGTTGGGGGGGAACTGCACGGCGAGACCGCGCAGTTTTGTCGGGAAAAGGAGTAGTGGCACGTACGGATAGCACAGACCCACCGAGCCGAGGGAAGCGATAGCTAGAACCATTCATAAATGGAGCATTAAAGTGGGGTAATCTTTCGAGCCCAATAAGGTACCTTGCACCTATTCCAAGACCTATGCTTATCCTGCCACGGTGGTGCAAGAAGATTCTGGAGGAGTGGCGCAGATGGAGAGTCGATGTGACAATGCTGGGGAAGACTACGTGAATAATCAGTGTGAGGCAGGGGGCTCGGACAACACCATGACTGATTATTATCCAATAAGCCCTACACCGGAAGCCCCGAACCCCCTGAACCCCCTGAACCCTGTCTGTGCGGAGCGGCGTGGCCGAGGCCACCTGCATCATCAACTCCAACTCGCAAGGCTATGACTACAACAAGTGGGATGCCGTCAAGGCGTGCCCGTACCCCGCAGGTGCCACGGAGTTTCCCATAGTAACGAATCAGGAGCAGTGTATGCAGCTCTATGACAACTTCACTGCACTGGGTGAGGCTGTGGATATCACTTGGAACGGCGAGGTGTACAAGACGGGCATCGGTCATGGAGCACTGATTGGTGTGCGTGGGAACTGCCTCACCATCCGCTACAACGGCAAGAACGCCGTGATTTTTCAGGTGGATATCCGGTCCTGGTCCCTGGAAATTACTCAGGCAACCTACCTCTACCTGACAGACAACGAGAATCCTGGAGGCTTCTGCTGGATCCCCGAGGTAGAGATTGTGAATTGCTTGGATATCCCGGGGATGCCTTCCAGCCTGAGCTAGGCTGAGACGGCTGAGACGGCGCCTTCCTTTTGAACCGGCCTGGCCACCTGGTAAAGCTTGGTGGTGTCGGTTGATCCAGATGGCTCAAAGCCAACCCCATTGGGATTGAGCCCCTGGATCGTGTAGAACGCACAAAGTGGCGCTTCTGAGAGAAGATGAAACAGTGCTGCGCCTCTAAGAGTTGGAACCTTCGCGATTATAACCTCCCGCATTTTCAGACTGGGAGTAGCTAGTGCAGTGGGTGTCCCGCCGTACTCGTTGATTTCCCAGGTGCTCTGCGAGATGTGGGGATCTACGTCCACAGAGCTGGAGGGACAGACAGAGTCGCATCCTCTGCAAGGTTTGTGGTTTACATAGGTGATCTAGGGTATACAGGTTTGGGAGATCCTCAGCCCGAGACAGTCAACCACGCCCAGCCCTATATGGATAACCTTGACAGCCTTTCACAGCTGTAGTACTTAGTATTCCGAGCCCATGCAAAGCGTGCTCACAGCAGGCTCGGCTGTTTTTTGTTGCCTGTTCGAGCTTCCAACAAAACCGAATCGCGAGGCCCCCGACCATGGTTCCATTATAGGGGGTTCTGTTTATTGGACTAGGGTTTCAGGATAGAGAACAGTATGGTTTTCTAGGATAGTGTTACCAATGTCTCGTCACAGAACCCTCCATTAGAAGATTGAATACTTTCGTGGCGTTAGCCGTTACGTATGATGTGAAGGTGTGGGGATTCAGTGCCGGCGAGACCTTGGATGACTTTGCAAACAAGGTTTGCTTGACAATGATGTTCTGAAAGAACCCTCCATGGGAACCCGCGCCTACGCCCAAGACCCAGACCTTCCTCCCTTTGGAAACGTTTTTCTGAGGAGAACTTAAACCCGCAAATTCTGGCTGCCAAATTTGAAAACATCAGCCCTAAACCCTTGGCGTGGGCCCTGCAGCGCAAGAAGGCCTACCAATGAGGGGCTTGGCTCTGCAGTTTGGGCTTCGGGGTTGATAAGTTCATGCTGTGGTGTCGTTGTCGAAGCTCGAACAAGCCTCATTGCAGAACTCACTCCATCCGGAGGAGTATAGTCACAGAGTCCTCTTCCGCTGCGTGGCTGTCTAAGTCTGCCTAACTCCGCGAAGTCCAATGCCTAAACTCGACCCTAAACTTCTGCACGGACAGCCTGGTCCTGCAGGGAAGCTCCTTTGAAGAGAGTCCCGGGACGGTCTAGTCTAGATCAGCACAGAATCGACCATGAGCCGAGAAGCCTTATGCTTCGATTCTTTCAAGCCTTAGCTCTGCTTGCCTTGAGAGCCGCAGCAGCAAGGGGCTCCCTCTAATTCGTGCACTGGCACAGCCCGGTCCTGCGATGACCTGAGGGCACCGGAGCATTGTGCAGAAGTAGGGCTTGAGTGGGGTGTAGAACTTAAAGCTTGAGCTGCGTATGTTTCGGACTGGGGCCTGGCCCTGGGCTTCTGGGGTTTGGGGCTTTATGTTTGGAGTTTGGGGTACAGTGTTTGTTCATCGCATGATGCAGGGGTTGAGGCATAGAGTTTGTCGGGTTTAGGGTTTGGACTTTAGCCTTGGGGGTGAACAAGTAGGTCGTCCTAGCAGGTGGACTAAAGCCACATCCGACCGTAGGAAGGTTTGGCCCATGACAGCTGAGCAAACCCTAAACAGCCATGGGAGTGTGGAGGTGGGGGCCTTCTAGATACATCCTGCTCTTCAGGGGTTCTGGGAGTTCTTCTTGCTCCTGGGCCACATTCTCATAATTGGTTAGGTATCTCACGCGACAAACTCTCCAGATGAAAAACAGCTTTGGGGTTGAAAGTAAGCTCAGCTCAAAATCCTAAACTCAAAAGCATCTTGCAGAGATGTGCCCTCGAACTGTCGCAGGTTTACGGCGTGCAACCGTTCAACCAGTGCCGTTTTGCTCTGTGACCACGACCTGAAGCCCTGAACCCTGGACCCCGATAGCACACCCCATTAAAAGACAACACAGACTTACTCTTACTAGGTCCCCGAGGATCCCCTCCAGCTGGGGACTTCTTGCAAGCTGCACTCCGCCTTCCTGGCGTAATTCATCGTTTCGTTCTTTAGTGCATTGGTGGCTGTACCCAGGGAGCCCTTCAGGGGCTTGGGGCCGTAGGGTTTAGGGTCGAAGCTGTGCAGGGGCCAAGGCTGTGCCGTTCCCTAATTGAAGGTTCGAGCGCTGGTTACCGCTAGTCTTGGAAAGAGGCTTGGGCTCCCTGGGGTGGTGCAGAGACGACCTCCCTTGGAAACTTGCCAACTGGTCAAGAAGGTCTCAGATCCAGTCTGTGGGGTTCGGAGGAGTTTACGAAACAAGGGATCCCTTTTGAGGGCTTTCGAACCATCCTGTTACTACCTGTAGTCTGGCGTTACACACCCATGGCCGGTGCCAACGCGCTGGGCCAAGAGGTTCCAGGCATTTCATTTGTGAGCGGGGGCTGCCGAGGGTGGTACATACATGATCATGGGACGAAGGCTGTTTAGAGACATGATGACCTGTTTAGGGACAAAACACAAATATGTTATTGTGTCTAGCGTAGGTGCTAAACTCGCTGATAGTTTCAAAGTAGACAGTTGCCGGGGCCTTGGAGTTTTAAGATTTCGAGCGCCCCGATGCGCTCCGAAGCAACGGGAAACAAGAATTAGCAACATCTTCAGAGAAACGGTTTTTGGTCGAGGCGTTAGGGTTCAAAGTGCAGGGTGGGGAAGAAGAGCAACTTGAACAGACCTTAGAGTTGGCCTTTAACTAACCCTACACATCCTATTCGGTTCCGGGGGCTCGGCTGCAGTGGGCGTACAACTGACCGACTCTGGACAAAAGCCAGCGCAAGAATGAAATCAACGGCTGTCACACATAGGTTTTTCGACGACTGGCAACTGGCTCCAGCGAGCAACAAGTGTTCTGCCGTCAAGCGCTCGTCGGAGTCCGCAACTCCCGGAAACGACTGCAGCCTGGAAGAACCTCCAAAGCTTAACACCCAAACTTCTGGCTTAGGGGTTAGTTCCTGTTCGTGCCCTAGAGGGCCGATGTCGGAAGCGAAGACCCTTAGCCGGCGCCGAAGTTCGAAGCCGTAAAGTTAAAGGTTCAGTGATTATGCCACAAGCTCGAAACCCCAAACCCGACACCCTGCAGAGAGTCCCATGAAACTCACGTGCATCGTCTGTGGCATTTTCCTCTCAAGCTGTGCGCCCCCCACAGTCGTGGAAGTTCAGGGGCTTCTCGCGGGGCAAGCGATGCTTAAGGGGGGCCCGTTTAGTTGTTGTTACTATCGGTTTTACAACTACAAAGACTCCATGGATTCTTCGAGAGTTCAAACCCAGATAGGTGGCCCTTGTGGGGTTTCGGGGTCTAGGCGCCCCGACACCTTCCAAAACCGAAGCCCTCCCAACCGTCTCAGCCCAAAAAGCTGTGTCTCTTCGCCCAAAAAAATTCCAAAAACGCCTTTAAGCCCCTCTAGAGACGCCCTCCCCCTTCCAGCTCCCTGTGTTTCACCCGGCCGCCGAACGGCGTACCCGGACACCAGCCGAGCAGGCGGCTTAAGCTTTCTTAGGTGTTTACGTGGTTTTTAGGTGTTCGGAGTTTAGGGTTTAGGTTCAAGATCTCAGGGTTCGGGAGTTGGGGGTTTGGAGTGTGAGGTTTACGGCTTCAACAGATGTCGAAGAATCTCTGAGCTCAGGAATCTCCCCTGTCCCAATGTCCATCAGGGCTCCGCGGTAGTAAGGAACCCCTTTTAGCTCCCTCTCCTCAAACCAAGACTCAGGAGTCCCTCAAGCCCTCAACCAGGCCACAGGTAATGCCAATCCCAAGCGGCCCTCGACCCCTCACGCTCCAAACCCTAAGCCCCAAAGCCCCAAAGCCTCAAGTCAAGCCCAATCGCGCGTGCCGGAGGTCCCCCTCTGCTACTGGGAGCTCTCGAATGTGCCTCGGATTTCAGAAGTTTGGTCTGGTCAGGCTCCTACACTAGGATTAGGGAGAGCCCTTCGTCCTTGCTTGCAAAGATGCCCGATAAGCCTCTATTCGAACCCCGTGATCCGAAAGAAGGATTCTTGTGAAGAGCGCATACAGCACCCCTTACCGCACCCCTAAACCCCTTCTTTTGCCACCCGACCGAAAAAAACCAAAAACTCCAAGCCCTCTACTACCCAGAGCCCTTTAAAATCCTCCTTCAATGGGTTCCCCAGGACCACGGCCGCGAAGCCGAAGGCTGACGACGAGTCCTCGGACTCTGGGCTCTCCTCGTCCTCGAGCAAGTCGGCCGCTGGGCCATGCAGATCTAGATTTTATTTTCGAGGTTGAACACACCGGTTTTTGTTTTGGAGGGCTTCCCTTCCTTTCAAGCGGGTTTTGAAGTGTGTGCCATGTTTGGGATGTTGAGGTGGTGGTGGTGGGGGTGTATCAAGTTTGCAGTAGAATTCGTACTATCATTTTGCAGCAGCAGCAGCAGTAGTAGTCGTAGCCATTTTGGCTCAAGAGAGGAGACCCCTTGCTGTCTCGGTGTTCATTGGCTCAGGGTGTAGCGAACGGAGGTCAGGGTTGGGGGAGGGCCGGTGAATAAGGTTGTGGGTTGGGGTTGGTATCAGTCTCACGGTTTGGCGCGACGGGGTGGGCCTTAGAGCGTAGGGCGCTCAGATCACCAGTATCTTCGTCGACAATGCCAAAACGCTGAAAGTGGCAGACTTGTCTCCTACTTAATGGAAATTGAGCCACAGGGGACTTTCAAACGGGTTTACGGTCTGCTTAAAGGATCATGGGACTTAGTAGCTAGGGTAACAAACAAGGTAAGTATACTTATAACTTTTTGCAACCCGGCCTTCGCCATGCACGCCGCTGCGCAGCGGGCGGCACGACCACAGGATGCTGGCTCCCGGATCTCCATCACCGTGTCACTCATGAGCGGCCTGTCTCAGGGCATGTCGTGCGATACCTCCTGGACTGTGAACGAAGTACGCCACCGTGCCCAACAGCAGTTGGATACAGGACTTCAGACCCTTTTCTCCAAGGACCGGGAGCTCAGTGGCTGCTTGACGTTACGGGAAGCTGGTGTGCAGGATAAAGATGTGCTTCAAGCAACGCGCCGCAGTGCCCAGATCTCTGCCGGCCGCGATTCGAAGGCCTTTGCTGTGAGGAAGGCGGATGGCAGCGTGGAAACCTGCGGTGACAGCGATGAAGGGGGGGACAGTTCCCACGTGCAGCAGCAACTGGTGGATGTCACTCACATCGCCACCACGTCGGGCGCCTTCGCTGCTGTCACCGCCGAAGAGTTTGTCGTTTGTTGGGGCCATCCCAAATGGGGTGGAGATGCTTCGCAGGTCCAGATGAACCTGCAAAACGTCAAGCAGGTCAAAGGCGCAGGCTATGCATTCGTGGCGGCGCTCGAGTCGGTTGTCACGTGGGGCCTTCAGGATTTCGGAGGCGACAGTGCCTCTGTCAGCAGCTTGCTGACAGGGGTGACCTCACTGTCTGCGACAGTCGGTGCCTTTGCGGCGCTTCGCCGCGATGGCAGCGTGGTCTGCTGGGGCGATGCCAGTCCCGGTTTCGTCGTCGAGCTTCAACAACAGGTGAAGCGGATTCGGTCATCGGACGGGGCTTTTGCGGCCATAATGCATAACGACATGGAGCATGCGGTGGTGGCTTGGGGAGATCATGATCGAGGAGGCTGCGCCACCAACGTGCAGCACCAGTTGCGTGACGTGCTGGAAAGCGCAGCCACAAGCCGAGCTTTTGCTGCCAGGAAGAGAGATGGAAGCGTGGTGACCTGGGGCTACGACCAGTATGGCGGTGACAGCAGCAGTATCCAAAGCAGGCTGAGGGACATCCAGCTCATTGCGGGCACAAGCGGGGCCTTCGCCGCCAAGTGCGGCGATGGCACCGAAGCGCCACGAGTGGTTCGAGCCACGGGGGGTAGGGTGATGGTCCTCGACTGCACTGCACACTTGCGCAGCTGGCTAACAGAGGAGGTCGTGTGCCTCTTGGAGCACTGCGAAGACAGCACTGTTATCTGGGCGACAGATTTGGCTGCTAGTCTGTGGCAGGAGCTCACATTGAAACTTCTTCTCATTGAGGCGCACAGAATACTCCCTGCTTCAAGCTTTGCGCGATTCCTGCATTTTTCCATTAGGACCTATCCGGGCGGGCAGTGGCCACGACGGAGATCATTGCAATACATGCAGCTATCGATTTGGAGTTCTTTCTCTACGACACCCCCCCATCACAACACAGTGAAACTGCAACTCTAGCAAGACGTGACTATTCTCCTGCAGTTGCTGACTCGTCCCGGTCCCAAGTCCGGGCGCGGATATCAACAGGCGCCAACGGCGCAATCGAGCATACCACGGGCGCGAGGGTACCCTGTGCCACCCCTAGCCAGGGCGAAGAAGCCACGAAAGTGGCGAACAAAGGGGACGCCAGGCCTATATCTCAGTCCAGAGTCAGGAAGAGAACTCTTCGGCGGCTCTGAGGCGTGCAATCCGTGACAGCAAATCAACATACTGTGGCAGAACAATTCAGGTCTGTAATCCCGATGTGCTGGGAGAGAGAAAACCTTCAAGCATGCGCAAAAGCCAAGTCTGAGGAGGCGGAGCGCCTCCAATGCATACACTGGAACTGCGGTGGGCTGTCAGTGGAATTGCAAATGGAGTGGTTTGTATGGCTGAAGCAACAGCATCATATCGGGCTTTTCGTTCTAACTCTAGTTGAGACGCATTGGAGCTTCACCAGCGAATATGTCTCACAAGGCTGGACAATCGTTCACAGCGCCTTGGAAAAAGGCAAGGGAGGCGGCGTCATGATCGGGATCAGGAGCGACCTGCTTGCGCCGAACACAAGCAAGTGGAAGGTTATGATACCTGGTAGGCTGATCCACTGGAGAGGTCAAACTGGGAGGCAGCAATTTGATGTTCTGGCCGCTTATCAGACCGCGATTGCGCATGTGGCGGGTGAGGAGCAGAAGGAACTCATGGCGAAACGTCACAAGTTCTGGAAAGCCATGGATGACACGCTGGCAAGTTTACCTTTTCGATCTTCAGTGGTCATCTTGGGCGATCTCAACGCGACGCTGTCCCCGCTGGCAGAGGTCGCAGGACAGGGCATCTTTAAAGGATCGCAGGCTGCTTGGTTGCTCCAGGAACGAGCTGATCTTATGCAAATTTTCAAACGACATAGATTGGTTGCATTAAACACCTGGAGTAAGCCCCAACACACGTATCATCATCCCAATGGACCATCCCAAATCGATTACGTGCTGATTCGCGGACAGCTGGCGGATGCCAGCGCCAGAAAATGCACCACCATCGACTCACCCATTGCGGCATGGAGATCGTCAGGGCACAAGCCACTGGCAGCTAGCTTCAGACTCAACTGGAGACCCTGGAAGTCGGTTATAGGCTCGAGTAAACCCCCGACGGGGCAAGCGCCACCCATCGAGCTGCTTATGGATGCATTGGAGCCTTCTCTTAGAGACGTTCAGGTTGCGATTAAACAGCAGATGGACATTCCTTCCAGCAAACCTGAGTTTCCAATGCTCAGGGATGTGACCGCGGAAGTTCAGACCATTTCGACAAACCAGCAGCTTGCAATGGAATCGTCACAAACCCGACATTCAACAGATCCATCAGCGAACCCTTCCGGCAGTCAGGATGCACCGGAGCCTGATACGGCTCAGGTTGCCAGACGCCAGTTGCGTCGGCTGGCACGGCAACGACATCGGCAGCGCCTTCTAGAGGCGCTGGAGAAGGCGCAGAGTGCATATGACGCTTAGGATGCACTATCAGTTCATTCGGAAACTTGCACCAAAGTCCTATAGGAGAAAACTCTGCCTCAAACCGGCGTCCGGAGATTTGTTATCAGCAGATGAAGAAGGTGAACTACTTGCGCAGTATGCAACTGAGCTGTTTGACGACGAGGAATACCCGGTGCCCCAAATGTTGTCGTTGAGCCCAGCTTGGTTCACCCTATTGGGAGAAAGCTCTACATCTTCTAAAGCCTCACAAAGCTGTACCTCAGGGACATGCTAGCATTCAGAGCTGGCGGAACAACGCGGCCACCCTGGCGCAAGCACTATCGAAGATGGCAGCGGCAGCACTTTGCGGTGACTCCCCACACCTTCCACAGGAATGGGCGACAGTGCAACTTGCTGGGCTGCCGAAGCCAGGCCGGGCTCCAGTTTCTCCGGACAGCTTGAGGACGATAGGCTTGATGGGAGCTGATTCTAAGGCTTTTCTGACTGTGATTGAGCTTCACGTTAATCCCATTGCGCAGCAAGCCCTGGCAGCGACTCCGCAATATGCGTATCGCCAGGGAGCCTCCACAGGTGACGCGTTGTTGCGAGCTTATCTTCATTGCACGGCCATCAGAAAGCTCCTGGCAGGCTACGTCGAGGATCACACAGCGCGAATCCTCGGCCAATCACACAGGCAGCCTCCTAGGTGGCCTTATGGCGAGCATCGATCTTTCCAAAGCATTTGATAAGCTGCGATTTGAGGAGATGTACATCTCCCTGGTGCAAGCAGAGGTTCCCGAAGAACTCACCCGACTGCTACTACACATACATGCACAAACCGCTATCAGGATCGAGCATGGTGGCAAAAGCAGAACTACAAGGATGAGACGGGGATTGAGGCAGGGGTGCAGCGTTGCTCCCATGATTTATGCTTGTTGGACCATTCGGCTTTGCAAAATCATAAATGACAGACTTCGAGACTCTTGGGCACAGAAGCAGAGCTCCATTTTTGCTGATGATAAGCACTTCTTTTGGGTAATCAATAGTTGCCAAGACCTGCACAGAGCCGTCAGTCAGCTTTAGCAGGTCATCTACATTATCCAAGAGATGGGTATGATCGTGAATTTTCAGAAGTCCGGGGTAGTTCTTGCGTTGAAGGGCGGCCAAACCCAGAAAACGATGCGCATGTACACCAAGTGGTGGAACGGCGACAGGTGCTTGATCCTTCGGGTGGACAGCAAAGACATTCTCATACCCATCAAGGACAGCATGCCATACCTGGGGACCGTCCTTAGTTATCAGAGCTTCGAACTACAGACGGCAAAGCATCGAGCTGCGCAGGCCAATGCGAACTTTGCCCAGCTGATTAGCGTCTTGAGGACCAACGGTCCACTGAGTCGGGCCCGCAAGATTGAGGTATACCGCACATGTGTTTGGACCTCGTTGACGTATGGCATTGCTGCGATAGGTGCTACTACTTCTTCATGCAGGGTGCTCCTTACGACAGCCGCCATGCACTTACGGAAGCTTTTGCGAG